GTGGTGCCACCCAAGTTCTCCGCCTCCGATTTTTGGAAAGACTTCCAAGAACACAAGGCGAACTGGTACACGGCTGTGCCTACCATTCACCAGATTCTACTGCGCAGCCCTATGCCAAGGCCGAAGCCAGAGATTCGGTTCATTAGGTCTTGTTCGTCGCCTCTGTCGCCAAAGACGTTCCATGAGCTCGAGAAGGCTTTTGGTGCGCCAGTGCTAGAGGCTTATGCAATGACAGAGGCTGCTCACCAAATGACGAGTAATCCTCTGCCTCCAAACAAGCGCAAGCCGGGTAGTGTGGGAATTGGCCAAGGAGTAGAAGTCAAGATTCTTGATGATGCTGGTCATGAGGTTGCTCAAGGCAAGGAAGGAGAGATCTGTATCCGTGGCGAGAACGTCACCAAGGGCTATCTCAACCATCCTTCAGCCAACGAATCTTCATTCACTAAGGAAGGCTTCTTCCGTACTGGTGACCAAGGCAAGTTGGATGAGGATGGCTATGTAATCATCACTGGCAGGATCAAAGAGTTGATCAACAAGGGTGGAGAGAAGATCAGTCCCATTGAACTCGACAACGTCATTGCTCAGCATCCTGCTGTATCTGAGGCTGTTAGCTTTGCCATTGAGGACGAGATGTACGGCCAAGATGTTGGTCTTGCTGTTGTCATCAAGGAGGGGCACAAATTGACAGCGGATGAGCTGAAGACATGGCTTGCTGACCGTGTCGCGAGATTCAAGCTGCCGAAGAAGATCTACTTTACGGACATGATGCCCAAGACTGCGACTGGCAAAATTCAGCGACGCCTTGTTGCTGAAGCCATGCTGAAGCAAGCCAAGGCTAAGTTGTAATCGAGGGTCTAACGCGACAGGACCCAGCCATTGTTGGTAATGGAGGTGAGTCAATGCAAGATCTTTGCAGCTCTTTGAAAAGTGGCATAGTCTTCTGCCTAGTGGCCATTGTGCTGACTGTGCTATATAGGGCTGCAAACACTGTGTAGACAGCCTTTTCGGTAGTGCACTAGACTTATTTGCGAAGTCCCTGCATAAGCCTATCATCTACACATGGCCCGTGCAGTTGTACAAATAGACTTCAGAGCAATCGGCTCACTTACACTCCTGTTCCTCAATCTTGCTGCGGCTCTCTTTCTGAAAGCGCAGTCTTTTTTTCACAGCCATCTATGACGATTCCACGGTCGGCACTGCACCCATATTACGCCAATCGCCTTCTTCCGTTAGCCTCCAAGACAACCTGACTCAAGCTTGGCCCCCATTCTGCCACCATCAACATGCTACTAGTTTTGGCGAATGCGGCGCCACCACCTGCACTCGAGGCTCAGCGACAAAACTGAATATTCAAAATCCTGAGCTACAGGCAGAACCCTCACCAATAGCCCTGTCCCTGTAAACGTGGCCGCTGGTTACAATTGATTGGTGTAGTCCGTCAGCTAGTGTTCAAGAAATGACTCGCACCTTGGGCGCCTGGTCCGTTGTCACTGGAGCTGAATCCACACGTAGTTAATGACAAGGTCGAGGCTGTACGGCTGTACGCCTTTCCGCCCCCATATGCCGTGTCTCAAAATCTGTTTGCTGCGGCCATACTCTACTCCGTACAGTGATATATTAAGAAACCGACCTGGAAGCCTGAAATACTCTAATTTTTAGCAACAAAAGTCGACTGATGCATCTCCAGTGTCGAGTCTCATTCCCTACAATTCTTCCTCTTGATGTTGAATGCATGATTTGGAAGCGATCGAGGGCCTTTAGCTATTCTTGAATTCCCTTTTCCTCTTTCATCGTTTATCCCTGCATGTATTGCCTAGTCGGGCAAACCACCGGCACATCATGTCTCAGATCAGGCAACTAGGCGCTGAATACATTGTGCCTAGCACCCCGCAATCAAACGCTTCCCTAGACTCGACTTGCAGCCGTGGTATCAAGTCCATACTTCCCCCAAGCTACTCTCCAACCATTGACATTCTCCCACCTGTCAACAATCCAGCAACCATGACCACTGCGGCTCTAAAATACTCGAATCACGAGTCTACCAGCACCAGTAGTGATAGCAGCAGTAGCAGTACCAGCAGCACTGATACATCAGCATCCGCACGTTCGTCAACCAGCAACGCGTCCCATGCATCATCGCTGTCAGCATCGAGACCAAAACCAACACGACACTCCAATCCGACAGTCTCAAACTCGTCAGCATCCAAACTCAACGCGAGATCTTCGCCGCCAACGGTGCGTTTTACGGAGCCTGAGCCTCTGCCAAGATGTCGAACACGGTCAACACCCATGTCCCTGATCCGGCCACAGCCGGCTCATTCAAGGTATACAGTTCCGAGTCCGCTGCTCGCGTTGCAGTATCAGAATCTGAGGGTGCCGGAAATGTCGAGTCCAGCGTTGAGCCTGCAAAAGGCGAGGGAGGAAAAGATATCGCGTGCTACGCCTCGTCCACAGAGTATCCTCATTACACGACCCAGACGGCTGTCCACACAGACTGTAAACACACGGACCAGCACCTCGACACTCCATCCATCATCCACCATGCCCTCATCACGATCAAGTCCAAACACGGAATCAAGAACATCCAAGGCCCCCCTCCCCAATCGCGCTTCCGTCCCCAATCTTAACCCCTCCCTCGCCCATGGCTCCCGCGTGCACTCTTACACCTCCACACACTCTACCCAATCCGCCCCAGCCATCCTCTCCACGCCTCCCAATCCCGCAATCCCCCAAGGCCAATATGACCCCCTCCAACACTACATCCCCTGCCTCTGGCCCGCGTGCTCAAAACACTACACCGCCGCCCACGCAGGCTCCATGTACTACGTCCCACAGGGCCCCTTCTCACTCACCCGCCTACACGGCTACTGCCCCCGCCACGCCACCCAGGAACTCGCAGAAGCCAGCGCGCTCTGCAAGCGTGAGTGGGAGTTTCTCCGCCAGTCAGCAGGCCGCAAGACGTTGCCGCAGATTGCAGCCGAGTTCGAGGCCTTTATGAAGCAGTTCCGGAGTGCGCGCGCGGCGGACGATGCGCAACTATTGCAGGAGTTGAGGAGTCGCGTGGTAGGCGGTACGACGACGGCGACGACGACGACGGCGAAGGTCCAATCACCCACAGCAGGGGAGAAAGCAAATACCGCCAAGACCCGACCAAAAGTTCAATTCGATATCTGGGACTGGCGCTACACGCCGCATCGCTGCACGGCTGTAAATTGTAAAGCAAACCCTTATTCCCCTTACGCGAGCCACCTATATATATTTTACCATTCCCCTCGCCCCTCTACTTTCAAACCGCTGCATACACTGTGCCCGCGCTGTGCGAACCGGGAAGTCGAAGATTTTGAGCGCAGGGTCAGTGAGAAGTGGAGTAGTAGGTGTGATGGGTGGAATGAGCAAGAATGGGACGAGTGGTTGGGTAATGTGGTGCGGGATCGGGAAATGGATGCGGAGTTTACGGAAAAGGCGCAGGAAAAGATGATCAAAGACAAGGGAACAACGAGGAGAGTGGAGACAATGGAGCAAGGAAAAAGGCCCGAGAAGGCTGCCGAGAAGGCGAGCGGACAGATAAGCGAGAAGGTGGGAGAGAAGGCGAGCGAGAGAGTAGCCGAGAAGGTAGGCGGTGTTGGCGTCAAGGGGAAGAGAATGTCCATTTTTAAAAGGTTGATTGTAAGTATGAAGGCTTGAGCAGGCGACATGGCATGTGTAGCATTCAAGGAAATGGAATGCAAAGTTCAATGGGTGGATAATCATAATACCAAGCGGTTGATACTTATTGCCCATGAGGAGAGAATGGGATGAAATAGGTTTAAAGAGACCAAGAAAGAGGTGAATGACAATATTTGATGAGCCCGCGGTTTCCTATACCGGATTTTCAGGTCTGAGGTTCGATGATAGATTCGTCTGGATGAGATGTGACGTGCGTTGAGTTGTATGATACCTCGATGCTAAAGAACCTCAAGGCAACCAGTGCTTTCACAGGACAGGATGCATGCCCCCATTGCAGAAGGCTACTGGCCAATACGCGAGATGGCTAATATACTATCCCGTTATTGACGCCTCCAGCCCGTTGTGGGGAGGTGTAACGCAGACCCCTCAGGCAATCCCGGGAGTGATATCATCCTCAACATTCAGATCTGAGCATTCTTGAATGGTACCCACACCTCGTCGTCCTGCGTGTCTTTTTCGTTTATGTCTTGTCATCTCTTCTTCCCTGAGAAGTTCTGCCAGGGCTTTGAAGTTGATGGGTTTCGTCATGAAGTGGTCAATGCCAGAGCTCCAAGCCTCCAGTTTGGCGCTTGCAGAGGCGAGACCTGTGAGTGCGATGATGGAGCATCGTGGCAAGTTGCGTTCGTGTTCAAACTCGCGGATCGCACGTGTGGCGCTCATACCATCCATGACCGGCATGGACATGTCTGTCGTCATATCAGTGATGGGCATTCGATTGAAGCCCTAGGTAACTTTGGGGTCATTCACTGACCCATTAAGATGACATCGAACTTGCGACAACATGTTTGGTATGCCAGTAAGGCTTCCAGACCATTCGCGGCCTCTTGATACTGCAATCCATTCTTTCTCATGAAAGCGACTAGAAGCTGTTCGTGTCAGTCTTTATAGCCATATGGAAAATTACGAATGTGAAGAGCACACCTTTCGGTTCAGAGAGTTGTCGTCGGTTATAAGTATGTGAGAAGCCTGGACGTCTTCCTCATTTAGAAGTTTAGAAACCAGGTCAGCAGTGTTCGAGCCAGTTGTAGACAATGTCCGCGCCGACAGCGGGGGTGTGGGTGGTGTATGACCGACAGATTCAGCAATGTGAAGGGACTCTAGGATGCTGGATGGATCTTCTTGTTTCCGTACGTCCAGCATACTACGTTCAGGTGAGAGGTCTGTGGAAGAGTTGTGTTCGATGTTTTCTTCCGAACGTCCGAAGCGATCGAGACATTGGTTGAGCACGAAAGCCAGCTTGTACGGGCCACACCTACGAAAATGTCAGCTGACCAACCTATAAATGAAGATTTTTGTGCGCAACGTACGGCTGGGTCATAATCTCCACGACGGATTCTCGACTAGTTACGCGCACGTCAGAACGTAATGTTGCTGCTTCCAGTGCATCCATCGCAATGAATATGGTTACAGGAGTTCTCTGTGTGTCAGCTCGCTGGCGCCGGATAGCAGATAAGTATTCAAAAGAAAGCTCTGGACAGATGACGATGTCGGCATCATTCCCTTGCCACTCGGTTGTCTGTATTACCTCCATCTTCAGATGATTTTGGAGAGTCGAAGCAAGCGCAGTAATGAAGCGAAGGAGGCCTTCCTCTGGTTGCGACATTGCCTGACCATTCGAAGTAGTTTGTATGATCTTATTCAGAATGCAAATGCGGCGGCCTTTCATTCTTGGGAGGTATAATAGGTATTGCATACGCTCGGGCGTGCATTTATTCTCTATATCCGGCTTTGTCAACGCCAACTTTATCTTGAGCTGTGTTCCTTTTGCAGGATCACTCTGTATCTCGATTTTTCCGCCGCTAGAATCAATGATCTTCCGAACGATGTTGAGACCAAGCCCAGTCCCTGGGGCATGGCTGTTCTCCTGAGAGAAGGGTTGAAAGGCGTGGTTGGCCAAAAACATAGGACTCATGCCGGAGCCGGAGTCAGTGACAGTTAGCGTCATTGCAGTGGGAGCATTTGTGTTTTGTAGTGGGCCGGCCGTTCGTAAGGAAACTTCAATGACTATATGGAATGCACTTGGTCAGCAAAAGAGTTCGCAGAGAAAGGAGGAAATTGGTGAAGGACCAGTAAAAGACAAAATAGATCTAGGCAGCCCAACGCACTCAAGCCTTCATAGACGTCGGATGTGGTCGAAATGAAGTTTCAGTGCTGCGATTGGCAAGCGATAAGAGGCAATGGAAGGACGTACATCCTGATCCAGTGTATTTGATCGCATTTCCAAAGAGGTTCATGACAATCCTTCTCCATGATCCGACAGAGAAGCAGTATACCCAGTCTTCTTCAAATGACACATCCAGGATTATGAAACAATGTTTTCTCTTCAAATATGGATTAGGGAATTCATCTGCGGGTGACTGCGGTTCGTCCGTAAGCCTTGATGACACGGGGAGGTATGAAGAGCCGCTGAACACTGCTTCCACAACCTCTTCTGTGGCGATCCCAAAGTCAAAAGCGGCATCTTTGCTTCGACGGCTCTTCAGCGGTTTTGAAGACAAGCGGATTGTATTTGCATTCTTCAGTCGCCTAGAAGAGACCCTGTGCCTTGATTCGCTGATCTTGGAATAGTCCATGACGTGATTGATCGTGTCCAGAAGGGTCGTACCGCATGCGCTGAGCGAGTTCATCATGCTGGTCTGGAAGGAATCAAGTGGAGTGTCCTTGATGAATTCTAACGTGCCGAGTATACCATGCTGCAGCCATCATTAGTGCAATTCTAGGTGGTAAGATTCTCTACTGAAACAGGGTTGCTGACCAAGGGAGAACGCAATTCGTGGGAAATGGACGCAACAAATGACGTCTTGGCCTAGGGGTTCCATGTTCATTAGCAAATTGTTGCGTTTTCTCTCAGGACTTTGGGGCCAGGAACATGTCGCCGTTGCAAGCGGTCGAAGGAGCACATATTCAAGACTCCTAAAGCAACGTACCTCGTTCAGTGAAACAGCGTCCAAGCGCGAAAGCTCCCTCATGATAGAGTGACTGAATATCTTGAAGTAGGCGAGATCTACAGATGCCGAAAGCAATCGATAGGGGTTATTGGTCCAGCAAAGACATCCAGCAAACCATCTCGACCGCTCATAGTCCCAGAAGGGTATAAAGGCAACGCTTCGAGCACCTGGAAACATCGCCTGTATAGCACTAGACCCTCTCTGTGGCCGACCATTGTTCCTGCGCTTGTGAATTGCCCCTAGTTGCAGACCCTCGTTTGGCGCACTTGGTGACCCAGAGCCCTCTTCCGTCGACGACAAACTTTGCCCACCTGCGCTAAAGGTGAAGATCCTCCCATTGGGACACTCGTAAAACAAGCGGCCTAAGTCATGTTCTACAAGCGTTCCGTAACCTGTATTGGCATCATATTCCCGGGTAGCAACGCCGAGTACCTGGCATGATTTCGAAGTCGAAAATGATGTACGCCGCTGTGTGGGACCGCTGCAAGTTGAGCTTGCCTCACTAGATGAGGACCTCGAATAATATGAGTCGTAAGGTGCATCAGGACCACTTTCTGGACCATTGTGGGCACGTCGCTGACCATTTGCTGCGACTGAAGCATCAAGAATGAGGACCCCGTCAAGATGACTAGATGCCATTATGAGATTAGCGGCGCGCGTGAACATGGATCTGGAATCTGTTGGCAGAATAGTATTCTGGAGTTTGGAGATAGAGCGGTGGCGACTGGATTCTGTATGTCCTGGTTTGTGAGCATCCGGTGCAGACTGAACAGGAGCAGTAGTGCCAAAACCAGAGAACGCCCCTTGCACAGTCGTAACACCTGAGCTAGCGACATAGCCACTAGAGTTTAGCTCTTGATTGTTACTGTTCGGCGCTTGCGAAGAACCCTGGGGCGCAGTCCGAACTGGGGATATTGTACTTGATAATCCACGGCGGTGCTTGTTCTCGAAAGGCAGAAGACCAGACGCTCCGTCAGCGAAGGATACCAAGCCACGTGTGAAGCGTTCGCCTCGTTTGTATTGGTCTTTGATAGTATACGTATCAAGATACTCGATAACAGTTGTTGCCAGTCGTCTGAGAAGGCTGCCCTCAGCCCGTGATAAATCGTTCCGTGGCTTGTAGTCAAAAACGCAGAGTGACCCTACGATGGTTCCATTGGGACTGAGCAGACCGACACTCGCGAAGAAACGCATGTCGCATTTGCTTCGTACGTCGTCTCGAAAATATGGATAGGAGTCTTGGGATAAATCAGGGATGATGATGATGGGGTCCTCTTTGCGGTCCAACGCCAGGAGATTTTCGCATAGTCCCCAGTTCCTTGGAATACTCACATTGCCCAGCCAGAGCATGTTGGATGCATCTTCACTCGCTTGGGGTCGGGCTGATAAGTCGGAATGGCATGTAGCCTCCGCAAGGATATGCTGTCGATGTTCGTCAAGAAGGGAGATCATGGCTCGTTCTGCACCTAGTCGAATGGCCGTCAGTTGACAAAGCGCAGTCAGCGTCGAGTCTGGGGATGGCCGTGGCACATGCTTTCCCGTATCGGTGATATGGGGAATGTTGCGAAAAGCTGCACCGTAAAGTAACAGAACATCGCGCTCTCTTCTCATGTCTTCACGCTCCTTCTTCCGGTCGCCACGATCATGTAGGAGATCTTCCATGTCCACTCGCCTGGCTGCTCCTCGGTACGACAGGACAAAAGACAGGGGATATTCACGAAGTTACTCCAGGTCGCCAGAACTCCATACTCCGCAGGTAGGGAACCTAGAGTGAGACGACTAGCAGGGCCCGCCGTGCAGTGAAACAAGCCGAGATTGATGAAGGAGAGGTTGTAGTAGATGCAGGTTTGCGGTTCGAGGGCCTGGATTGCCACCATGGCTGCATTGGTAGTCTATGGGCCTGGTGCATTCGAAGGGGGATCTGCACATGTTTAGCGTATAAACCAGATGGCAATCGCGGTCTAGAGTAGCCAATGCTTAACTAGATGCGGCAGACTGGAAGACCTCTCAAGTGCTACTATGTCAATGTATGCTTGCCTTTGGCAGGGGTGTTACTATCATGCATATAAACCTATGCTATCGTATACTCACTGTAAATATACAGACATCACTCACTCGTCCGGTTTCCTATGAGGGATGCACCACCTCTGTCTGCAGAAAGAAGGAACAAAACGCCCTCGTTGCGGGTATTCACAGCAAGCAGCGCAGCCTCAAACCAGAATGATGTCATCACCGTCATCAGTTTCACGCGCCTTGGCAAAAACTCCCTGGCCAAACATAGTTTCAACGTCTTTCATCAGCCTTCACATTCAACAGTATGCACTGTATCCCTTGTCGAGAGAATGAATGTCCAGAGAATACTTGCTTCTTGGCCAACTGTCTGTGACTGATAAACCACGTGAACCACCTATCGCTATAACCCAGAGGTCAGCCGCAGAGGCGCGCCAAGCAAGACACGACACATAGAAGATGGATGCATCCGTCAGCACAGCCTATGATGGTGTCTTGCGCATGAAGAATCGTCTAGCTTACCCATTGTAACAAATTGTAGATTTCCTCATCTGTCACTACCCTTGGACTTCTCGGAAAAAGGAGACCATATGTCTGAAGTGTGCTTCAATCGAGCTATATGATGAGCAACATGCCATCTGGGTTGCATTGCATCGCCTTCATATAGTTGTAGTCCTCAGTTTTGATATGATTTTCTTGTAATAAATCAAGTCTCACTGTTAACCATCGAGCTTCGTGACCCCGGGTTGCTGGTAGGTACGTTCTGATCATCTGTGGCTGGCTAGAATATCATCTTGTTCATGTACCTACAGGCTACCTAACATCATCGCTCGTGGAAGCCATTTACATGTTCTTCAAACACCAATAAGCAGTATTTTCCCCTCCGCTCATCTACATGAAAATGAGGTAGCTTCCGCAGCATCGCCTCCAACATAGACCAAGTGCTTCGGCCACAGACACAGATTCGCTTTTCTGACCTTCCCTTGACCCTGAGTCTGAGCCTCGAGAGTCTCAGGCGCGATCCCCTTCTCCACCCAATCGATGAGGCTCTTTAATGCATTACCCGGATACCATCCAGTCCCCCCAAGACAGTGATCCACACCAGGTGCCTCAAAGTAACGGTAGTAATCGCTGGCCTTGGGATCGCGCTCTTGCACTCGACGAGCGTACTCTGCTGTTGCATCCGGCGCAAGACATGTATCCGCTAAGCCGTGCCAGGACAGCAATTTCCCACCCGCTTCGCGAAACTGCCTGAGGTTGGTGTCCGAAGTGCCGAGAATGGAATTGAATCTCTGAATCGATTGCTCGAAGAGAGTCTGGAAAGTTGTAATGTTGACGCTCGAGGTTTGGTAGTCTGGGTCCGTCTTGATGAAGTATTTGATCCATAGTTCAGCCACGAGGAACGGTGCTCCTTTGCAAATGCCATTTGTGCAGGTCGTCGCACCTGTCATGGCAAAGGAAGCACCAGGGTTCGTGCCATGCCAAAGGAAGTCTCCTCCTTGGTTCGTGGGCCCTTGCCAAGTCTTTTCGGCTACGGCAGCTGCGGCTTTCGTGATGGTTGTTGTTTGGTTTGTGGATGCACAGCGGTATTGCTTGCTTACCATGACCTTCGGATCGAACTTGCACTCCTTGGGTAGTCCAATGATGCCATCTTTGAGACCATCGAGCTCGTCGCAAGCCTCGACAGCCGCGTTGTTAATAGCTTCGAGCTCGCAAAAGGTCGGGTATTCACCTGTGTGCCGTTAGTGTGATCTTGAGGAAGCACCAGATCAAATATACCTAAATCATTCATGACCACCTGTGGCCAGAAGAGCTGCATCATCAGCTCGTTCCAGTAGATCGCGGGCGCTGCCGCGAGGATTCCATCATATTGCTCTGGATACTTTTGGGCCATCTGGTATCCCTGGCGTCCACCGGTGGAACATCCATTCCAGTAGCTGTACTCGGGGGCTTTACCATAGTATGCTTTCGCCACCGCTTTTCCAAGTGTCGCGGCATCGTCTAGCGCAGTCGAGGCGAAGTCTTGCAGAAGTATCCAATTCACATTGCCTGGACTTGACATGCCCCATTTCTCAATTTTTTCAGAATCCTCGAGAGTATGGCCACCATCAGTCGAAACAGCCGCGAAGCCTTCGCTTGCAGCCCAGGGAAGTGTGAGGTTCGATTCGACTCCCGTTCTGAAACCACCGCCTCCTGCGCCGAGGAACCTGCCCGTCCAATCTTTTGCCGGGGGTAACCAGACAACAGTGTTGATCACATCATTGTAGCCGGGATGCGTATGTTTGATGAGTACCTCGCAGGCGTTAAGGCCAGTCACCTTCTTTGAATAGTGGTTTTGATTGATGGGGATGTCGAGTGTCAAGTCCGAGTGTGTTACTGTCTTGACCTCCAGAATCTCGCCACCAAAGAGAGCGATGTTGTGGAAAGCGGACGATTCACATTGTACTCCAATCACAGACTGGGTGAATCCCAAAGTAAAAAACAGGAGAGTCGTCGTGCTTCGCAGTATGGACACCATTGTAGAGGTTGTGGACCTTGTGAGAACGACTGGCAAGGCCGTTGAAGAGACATGGCTTTTCTTTTTTATAGTTAACGACTACTCTAGGCCTATATTATGTCGTTTGTGCTTTTTGATGCCCATCAAAAACGTGGGACTTGGAGCAACGCAATCAGTGAGCCAATCAACAGCTGGCTCAACGTAGGCAGACACGCGCTCTAGACTTGTTGTAATCGGGCAGACAAACGCATGACGGCTCGCTATGGTATATTGTCCATGAAATAAGCTTGCTTGTCGCCAGGTTTGGCTGGTTGTCAATGTAAAGGCCAATATTGATAGGTAGGTACGTGGTGTGGCATGGGAAAGTGACACATTGCGGCGGCACACTCGGGGTATACTTTTAGTGAGATTGTATCTGCCCGAACATAGTTTGGGGGGCGCCCGGCAATTTATACGGCTGATTGTGAGATTAGGTTGAGCCATTTTGAGGCCATTTTGAGGCCGTTCGAGGGATTGTATGCTTGGTGTAGGTAGATCAGCCATGGTGGTTAGTTGGTGGTAGCCATGAAGATTGGCCTAGGCTTACCGGTATTTTGCGGTGTAGGAAGCGTCCTACGCGGCAACTTGTATAAGCAGGTAGCTGTGAGGCATGGACATGTACAGAGATGACATGTGCTTGTATGTCAAGCACATGCCATTGTCAGAAAGTGTATGCTTATGAAGTTGTGCCCAGATGACGGACACACGCCTGAAGGAAGCAACGCGCCATGCCTCTTTCAGCACATGGATAGGTATACTTTGAATCCTACCACCCCCGACAGGCCCCATTCAGCCACGCTCCCGAATGATCGCGCACCATGGTCATTCCCTGCGCATAAGACTTAAGCTCCTTTCGAAAGTTCCGTTCCTCCACACAGCGTCACCAGTGTTTTTGGCTGACTGGGTAATCTGTCAGCCTTGATTGATTCCCCACATTCTCCCATGCGGGGCGTTCTGGCTACCCCAAATCACCCCGCACCCCCATTATCAGTGCCGGCAGCCATGGCGGCACAAATACCGGAATACGTACATCAGGTTCCGTGCCCGTTAAATGGTACTTTATTGCAAGTATAGCAACCCCAACCACAGCCTTCAAAGAAAACCCACAAATCGACATCGATCATCATGGATCCAGCGCAGTTCGGCTACAGCACGCTTCCCATGCACCACGCCCCCTACGATGCCATTTCACCGGAAACAATAAAGGGCACCAATGCCGGTAAAGTTGCATTCATCACGGGTGCTGGGCAAGGCATTGGCGCTGCTATTTCTGAAGCTCTCGCAAAGTCTGGCGCCAATATCGCAATCCTCGATTTGAACCTTGACAAACTCGCGACAACAAAGAAGACGTGCGAGGCATTCGGCGGCAAAGTTCGTACCTACGAAGCCGATGTCACAGATGCAGCACGTATCAAAGAAATCCTCAACCAAATCGAGAAGGATCTAGGGCAGATCGACATCCTGGTGAACAATGCAGGTATCCTAGACCAAAGACCATTCGTCATGTCGACATTTGAGGGATTCTGGAGACAAATTGAAGTCAACTTCAAGGCACCACTGATGTTGATTCATGAAGTCTTACCAAGAATGAAGAATCGTGGACATGGATGCATCATTAACATGGCTTCTCGGTCTGGGACTGTGGACGTGCCCATGACGCTCGGCTACGTGACTTCCAAAGCTGCACTGATACGTGCGACGCACACACTACAGCTAGAGATGGAGCTCGATGGACTGGATCCAGCGATCCATATGTATGCGCTACACCCAGGCGGTGTCGTCTCGGGCATGGGAGGAGGTAGGTGTCCTCTTAGGATCCGAAAGCACTCGATAGAATGCTGACGTTGTCTAGCCGGCGCGGCCAAGGACGTCAAGGAAAAGTATGGCGACCTCACAGACGAAGACTTTTACAAGGATCTGTTCAAAGACAGTCCACCACTCTGCGGCCAGACCTGTGCGTGGCTGGCTTCGGGAAGAGGCAAAGAGCTACGAGGGCTGTTCTTAGGTACGCCGATCCCAAGTGAGATCTTCGGATAGTGCTAACGTCAGGCAGACTGTCGGCAAGATGTCGGAAAGCTTTTGGAAATCGGCCGCGCGACACTACTGAAAGAGAACAGGAATAAGCTGACTGTCAACTTCATCGACGGCTATTGTAACGAGCCATAGCTACGAGAAGAATTAATGTTCAAAGCTGTGCAAAGATGGAGATTTTGTTCAAGACAGTAATCGGACACGTTAAAGTATTTGGTTCGCCGTGTCTCACGGTTCGACAGCGTAAGGCCTATGTCGGTTGCCTGTCGCTAGCCCCATGATCAGATGCCCCCGTCTGCCACCCTATGAAGGCCTGTATATGCTAGTGACATATTGCCAAGTAATCATTCCAATCAGGGAATATGCACTGAGTTCCAGGAGCAGTACATTGGTGTTTCTAATTTTGTTAGATCTTTATACCACTACGGTAAAAAATTGTTTACTGTAGAATGGTACGCTAGGGGTTTACTATATAGGTGTAAACTGCCCTCGTGTATACCCGTAAATAGGTTTAAAGTGGTGGTTTACTTTTATTAAAGTAGTGGTTTACTTTTATAGTAGGGGTTTAAATTAAGTATAAAAAGTAGTTTTATTTCTATTATACGCTATAATACCTAACTAAGACTAAAAGGGGTAGAACCTGACTAAGACTAAAAGGGGTAGAGAAACTTAGCTTCACGCTATACGCACATATGACATAATAATGAGTCATGATATTTTAACTAATAGGAGGTGGTAATAATAGAGGTGGTGATAGAGGTGGTGATAATAGAGGTGGTGGTAGAGGTGGTGGTAGAGGTGGTGGTAGAGGTGGTAGAGGTGGTAGAGGTGGTGGAGGTGGTGAAGAAGATTAAAGAAAGGAGGGGTAAAATACTTAGATAGTTAGTAGGAAACTAGTTATTACTACGTAATACTAGTAGATTAATAGAAGTAGAAGTAAAAGTGGAATACATAGTATAGTAAACCCTATTTAGGTTTACTTCTTCTACCTAAACTACTTCTTAGTCTACTTTAGATAAATATGGCTACTGTAAACCGGTTTTGTACCGTAGTGTACATAGTATCTCTTGTCCACTTAATTATAACCTATGTCCACTTAATTATAAACAGAGTAACACTATTGCTATCCCTTTTTCCTTTCTCGAAGCTCCTTGCTTTCAAATTTAAACAGTAGCCCACCTTATCAAAACTCGTTTCAAATTGACAATACTGAACTATGTTCATTTTGTAGGTGTGCTAGTGAGAAGGCATGAAACTTACATTGGGTGGAAGCAACTTGTTCAATGGGTCAGCGGATTTCTTGGACAGAACTGACAAGTAGCAGTAGAAACGTAAAGGACGACAAATCCTGCAACTAATTTCATATTGGCCGACTTTGTTGCACTCAACAATTGGGCATTGAACCAACATGTACTTATGCTCCTCTTCACCGCCAGTTCAGGAAAAACATTCAGAAGACTGAGATAATCCCAATATGGCAGTAACCGCAAGGCGGCTGTTATCCGGAGACGGCAGTCACAAAGCAAGCAGAGGCTGGGAGAGCGGGCGGTGTGACACATAAGAATACCACTGAGCTGTTCGAAAATGTATCATGGATGAGTATCATAGCTCGTAGCCTTGCAGTCCCCTCACAAGTCACGGGCAAGGTGAGTGTGTCAAGCACACAGATGATTTGACAAAATATTTGATTTGCATGGCCTCAATGATCAGTGTTGCCTTGTTATAACCCATGGTTACATTTGCTGTGCCACGATTTGCCATGGATCATACCCAGAAAGGCCTGCATACATTATATTCAAAGTGCAGGTGATAAGAGGATATTTAGCATCACCCGCCAGACCAATGATACATTGATTTCCATCTTTAGTACACTCCAAGTTCTACTTTTACTAGGTCTTCGTGTACAGTTTTTGGACAAGGGATACTCACTGGACGGCATGGCCAAGCCCCAATGCGATTATCGCCCGTACATATGCAAGGGTTCTTCCTCTGCAAGTCCAAAATATGTCAAAATCTTATCTATGCAAGCGAACAGGTGTAAGACTTACACCATATCTAGGCTTTATGTTGGGTTGAGGAACAGCAGTTTGTGCAGCAACATGGCAAGCAGCTATTGAAATGCAAAGGAGGACAAAGCCTGTAGTTGATCTCATGTTGGCGAAGTTTTGATAGCGGAAGTTGGCAGAGGAAGCGTCAAGATGAATTGTAAGTTTTGCGTCTAGTACAAATAGCACATCTGCCTATTTACATGTATATAGTCTTTAGGACTTTGTTGTAATAAAACGCCCTAGGAAGCTTTTAGACCTGTTGGTATGGCCTATTTAGGGCTACTACGTGTAACGAGTGCAACCCTCGTTCCATCTTAGACCAGCGCAGTCAGCCCATGCCCAGTGCCGATACCGCCCCGACTCTGGTCCGAGTCCCCTCTGCCTCCACATATAAAAGGAGCCTTATGCTCATAGATAGGTAGACAAGTTCTTCTTGTCCTTTCGTACAAGACCTATAGGCGTAGGAATCAATTCGTTCAAGCTCCATACAGACGCGCACGCCCATATGCCTTTGAGTCATATCGGACCCCTTTCGGACGTTCCTACCTACCTGCGTCGTGACAGTCAAAATGGTAGCCTGTGCGAAGGAGGCAATAATGATCTAATACACAGGCAAGTCATTGTGATTAGTAAAGACCATAGTCTTGGTTTAGTTTCCTTCCCTCTAAGGAGTGAGGCGCCTACCTGCTATGGTGTGTCTGTTTGCCAATCTATATGGTATATATAGTATCTGATTTAGTATAGTCCCTGTCAGATCCAACTTGCAGGGTGGCTGGTCTGACACAACTATATGGCGGTCAAGTCAAGATATGCCAACATCACTTCTAAACACAGAATATATAGAGCACTAAGTAGACGTTCATCAGCGACGACGTAAAGGCTAAGTGTGTGCTTATGTACGCAGCATGCGATGCGCAATCATTGGTTGCTCGGCCAACTCGCTTTCCCTTAGTTCCCGCGCTCTCCGTGCCAATTGTCCCACCGTGCTTATGCAAGTGTGCCGTACTTCCCCACACAAGTTTCCGGCGCCCATTTCCGCCTTGCCTCATAAAGTAACCCGTTTCTCTTATTCCCGCGGCCACGATCCAAGCATCACTACTTTACCCATCATCTGGTCTTTGTAGTCCTGCATGTTCTCGCTTCTCGTGGATGCTCAGTCGGCTACAATCACCAAAAAAAGTAATGGTAGGACCAATGAGATCGACTTTTGCTTGTGTGGGGTACGGTATGGGGAATTTGCCTTGCTCCTAGGCCATGAAGCTTGCTTGAGACGACAATGCTGGTCAAAATGGGAGATGGGCATCTTCCGAGGTTGTACTGTACATGCGAACATCGGCGGCGTACGTACTCTCTGAATGCGCGAATCTCGGCTGCAAAGTCGCTGGGACGCAAGGAGTTTGGTACGGTTCTGCACCATGGACCTGTCTTTTGGCCTGCATGTCGATTATCTCATTGTTTGACTACAACACCGTGTCTTACTCCATCGCCATCTTCGCGATACCTGATTGTCCAGCACCATGGCGCGTAGGTATTTAGGGGGTTCTGGTCAAAGACTCACAGTATGGATCTCGATCTGTGCCAGCACCGTTCTGATGTATCTGCCCTTGGCCCAACATGGTGATTCGATGATGCTAATGGTCGTCCAGTTTCTACGGCTATGATCAGGGTGTCTTTGGCAATGTGATCATCTCTGAGAACTTCCTGCGCACGTTCGGCTACCCGTCTGCAAACATGCAGGGCGTCATGACGTCCATTTACAACATTGGCTGCTTCATTGGAGCGATGAGTACGATATGGACGGGTGACATTCTTGGCAGACCTCGACAGATTATACTCGGTTCCACTGTCATTGGTATTGGTGCGATAATCCAAACCTGCAGCTGGACAGTTGCCAGCATGATGGTTGGGCGAATTGTAGCGGGACTGGGAACTGGCATGAATACGGCAACAGCCGGAGTCTGGCAAGCTGAAACGAGCAAAATGAACAGTAGAGGAAAGCTAGTCATCATTCAGATGGGTAAGCTTTTTCACACTCTGGTTCAGATCTATCCCGCTGATCGTGACCAGCGAACTGCATCACTGGCTTTAGCCTATCCAACTGGCTGACTCTTGGCTTCTCATTTGCGCCCCGAGACATTGCCTGGCGCTTTCCACTGGCCTTTCAACTCTTTTTCACCTTTTGCATCTACGCCATGGCACCATTCCTACCAGACTCGCCACGCCTGCTTATCCGCAAAGGCAAGCATGACGAAGCATTAGAAGTTCTCGCTGCGCTCGAGGGACACGGAGCAACACCGGAATCACCAGCAGTAATCACCCAATATAACATCATCAGAGACATTTTGGATCGCGAGCACATGAACACATACACTTGGTGGCAGCTGCTTTCTGGCAAGGGCCCCAGCGGCGTGCTACGCCGAATGATCCTGGGTGCCTGGATGCAGGCCATGAACCAAATCTCAGGAATCAATGTCACTTCTTACTATATGAGCTACATATTTATAAATGCCTTGGGCATATCAGAACTCTTGTCGCGCATCCTAGCAGCAGCTGGATCAGTCGACTACCTCATCTTCGCATGCTTGGCGTACTTTGTCATTGAGCGCTACGGGCGGCGCAAGGTTAGTTGGCACAATACCTGAACAGCTCCGGTTCTTGTAATCTTCTCTGGATTGGTACTGACTGCATCAGGTCATGATGGTGTCTGCCGGCGCCTGCTCCCTATGCTGGATCGTAATCGCCGCATCTCAAGGCCAGACTGAAGCCGGGGGTGACTCTTACAAACTCGGCATCGTCGCCGTGTCCTTCTTCTTCCTCTTCTTCGCCAGTTTCGGCATGGGCGTTCTCGGCGTCCCCTGGCTGTACCCAACGGAAATCAACGCCCTCGAGATGCGCACCAAAGGCGCATCGCTCGCAATGAGCACAAACTGGATATGCAACTACGCCGTCGTCCAAGCCACACTTCCTGGTATCGAGAACCTGGGCTACAAGTTCTGGGTCATCTGGGCTGTCATTTGCTTTGCTTTTATCCCCATTACCTACTTCTTCTATCCTGAGACGGCGAACAGGACGCTCGAGGATATCGATCGCTTTTTTGCTGCTAAGCCTGGACTATTGATTTCTGGGAATAGAATGGCAGTGCAACTGCATCGGCCCATCGAGTTCATCGAGGCAGATGCACGCATCGCTGCCAACGAAGAGACAAAGGATGCAGAGGGACGAAGGAGCATCGGTACCGAGCATGTTGAGGCGAAAGAGGCGGTTTGATGAACAAGCCATAGACCTCGCTTGGTCACAGGAACAGAAATCCATCCTTCGCTATCGAGACAAGCATATGTGCTAGTTTGTAGGCATGTCAGCAGCAAACCAATCTGTAATGATTTCGCAGTCGGGAGTCGACAGGCGCTGAAGTACGACCTTGACATCGACAGAGACAATGCTGATTTCATGAAAGCTCCAAGATAGAGTATTCGGGGCTAACCATGAAAGAGAAAAATTTCATAGTACCTAAGGCGACAGTAGTCACGACGACTGCACGCCATATGTAGGAGAAAGAAAGAGAGAGAGAGAGAGCCACTGAATGAAAAATTTCTAAAAGGTGAAATTTCTCATTGTGGAAATCAAAGATAACTGAGGAAGACCCACACTCTTAATAACACAAGAAAACAGTCCAAGACACATATTACACTCTTGCAACGAAGCCTCTAAATATTTCCATTACAACATGACCCTGACAGGACATACACAGTCCCGATATTGGCAAAGTGTATGCACTACATTTTAATAGACTATGGACTACTAATGTTGCGCCTGCACCGATCCATCAGCACGTGTAGGGCCATCCTTCATCTTCTTCATCATATTGCTCAACTTTCCTCCCCGACCTGCCCCGCTACTTCCTTCAATCTGGGATCCGGATACAGCTGGGCCACTGTAAGGCTGCTTGACAGTTCCAGGCAGCGAAGGGGCACCTGCTGTAGATACTGTTGCGCTACCAACTGCGCATCCAGCAGCGCTCTGCTGCTGTGCATGTGCTTGTTGTTGTTGTTGACGCAAGCGCGAGGCTTCGATTTCTGCACGTCCTTTTTCGATGACGGCTTGGTTTTTTGCGTGTGCAGCTGGATTTCGACGGTCAAAGGTGTCGTTGAAGGTTCCGCGGAGGGTTTCGCCAGCGCCCTGGGAGGGAATGGTTAGGTCATGTGGATTGTGTGAGGGAGAATCAATGATGCTGCCAACTTACGTGAATGCCTGAGGCCGCTGCTTTGATGTTGGCTAACGTTGATTGCTTTTGCATGTCGTGGCCTGCTCTGTAAGGCACTGGGCGATTCTGATCATTGCTCTGAGGAGGACCTGACTGGAGACTTGGAGGTAGACCTCCATAACGCTGCTGCTGCTCTGCCATCGGAGGTAAACCTGCTTGCTGTTGTTGATATGCGGGCATGGCAGGGATACTCGAGCGAGTTTGGAGAGGCGGGACTGGTGGAGCAACATGAGATTGTTGCTGTTGCTGTTGTGCTGGCGGTGGCTGTCCAGCTGGTACCTGTCGTGGCACTCCTGGAGGAGGTGTCCTGGCAGGATAGGAAAAGTTTGCGCGCGATGGACTGGTTGGAGTAACGGGGCAGACGGTATCTTCCATTGGATCAGGTCTCTGAATAGCTGGAGAGACCGAGTCCAACTCCATTCTGTTCCGAATGTTGTTTTTTGCTGGTAGTGGTGGGGAGGAGTGTGTTTCCTCCACCTTGGAAACTTGAGGAGACAATCTGGGATGCGGATCATGAGCGACAGGCAACGGTGGTGTCACATTCTCAGGTATTGGGGTACTGGCCATGAGTCCCGGCCCTTGGGGGTGGTGATCGGCCGGTACTGGTGGAGCTGGAGACGGTGGACTTGGCCCGGATGTATGAACGCTTGCTCCCGATTCCGCCGTGCTCTTACCACGAGGTTGCTCTACGGTAGTTGAACCTCCCGGGCCAGTTGTAGTCGTAGTCGTAGTCGTAGTCGTCGTCGTGACCGTGACAATATTTCCCGTGCCAGCGTCCCGATATGTCTCTCTACCAACGTCTTCCCTACTCGACCGAGTTTGTAGGGTATGTGCAGGCGGCGGTGCAAGGGTATCTTGTTGCGCAGTTGGCTGTGCACTCTCTGTCGATGGTGCGAGTGAGTTGTTCGCAGGTGTGCGCCACTGATCACCAGAGACTGGTCGTGGGTTGCTCTGAAAGCTCGGGTTGGCACTGCTACGCTCGCTGCTGTAGTAAGCGGAATCTGCATTTGTATCTGAAGCCTCTTGACGGCGGCCTTTGTCTTTGGCTCCATCATTCTCCCTTTCCCTTTCCCTTTCTTTCTCTCTCTCCTTTTCTCTTTCCTTATCCTTGGAGTGGAATGGGTTCGACAACCGCCATTTCGATCTCTTCTCTTTCTCCGCGGACGACATATTGGTCTCCAGAGGTTGAGACGAGCTGGCTGCTTGTTGACCAGTCAAACCTCCAGACATTGCAAGCTCCTGACGCTCACGGCTTTTTCGTTTTTGTAACTTGGCAGGCTGGCGAAAGCTATCATCCATTGCTACCACAGAGCTGATCGTTCAACCCCGCAACTTGTGTGCAACAAGCGTAGTCGACACAGTACACTGCACAGTATCGAAATGGCAGGCAGTAGTGCTTGTACGAAAGGAGCGGTGATAAGGTATAGAAAGAGAGAAAATCATCAAGGACGGAGATGTCTCTTTACAGAATTCAGAGTACATACCCGCCTGCTTCAGTGGACCCAACTATGTAATAAGGTCCACGCGAAGCAGCATTACACTTGCTGGACCCCATGATATCATAGCAGAACGTGTGGCGCAGCTGTGTGGCACCCAATGACAAGGCGAGACGGCTGACGATCGTTGGGGGCCACGGCAGAGATACAGGGGTGGTGGATGTTCAATGATGTTGTGTTACTGTAGAGAAGCGTGCCAAGTCGTCCACGACAATATCCAAGTTTTCGGATGCGCCACCTGGCTAGGTATATAGTAGTGAGTGGTAGGTACCGGTACCGGTACACTAGGGATTGCGGGTGTGGTTATCCGCTATGGCTCGAGATCGGGATTTATGCTGCACAATTCAATCATTTCACATTGAACCCATTTCTGCCAGTCTTCCTTCGTGGCGGGATTCTGAGCTTTTGAGGGGTTATCTACCTACGGCGTGGGGCCATGCTGCAGGCTAAGTCTACTCTAGAAACTACATATCCTATGCAGCGCATGCTCAGCCTCCATGCAACCTCGATGATTCAATTGATCATGCAGGCTGGAGGCTGTCCCTACCAATACCTCCTACACAACCCAGGATTCGTACACATCGTCCCACTTGAAATATTTCGTCCATTCACTTCCTACTCCTTCTCGTGCCGTAGCCATGGCGGAAGTGTTAGGCCTGGTAGCCAGCGTCATCCAAGTAGCTGGCGCAGGCCTGAAACTGTCACAAACACTATACCAATATGCAGATGGCGTTGCAACCGCCGACCGCAGAATAAAAGACATTGCAAAAGAGGTCCAGCTCACGAGTCTGGTGATTGACGAACTGGGAAACGTCTTCCGACGCGACGAGACCGTAAGATTAATCTCCAAGACCGCCGTCACAACCGCAGAAGAAACGATGAAGGAATGCTCTGCCGTCTTCGCCGAGATCGAGACAACACTCGCCAAGAGCAAAAAGGGCAGAATGGGAAAATGGACACTGCCCTTTCGAGACAACAAGATTGAATTGCTGCGCAGCCACATTGAGAAGCTCAAGAGTACTTTGCAATTGCTCATGCAAGTCCTCCTCCACGCCTTCCAGGTCACGTCGAACCAGCTGGACCGGGCAGCAGAAGCGCGGCAGCGCGAAGAATTGCGAGAGCTGTTGGAGCTCCAGAAGCAGGCGACGAAACGGTATGAAGATTCCCTACGGGACTTTAGTATCAGCGACGGGAGCACAATGGTGGATGACGACGACCGGAGCGAAGACAAAGACACGGATGACTTGTCAGCCACCAATGTTGGCCTTGTGACTGTCTCGGCCATTGAATCCACAATCACACCAGATACACTCGCAGTCTGCATGCAGCATGCCCAGAGTCTCCTACAAGACATCCAGTCCCTCAAGCAAGTCCTCGAACAAAACGGACAAGGCGCAGACCACTCAAACCACCACCAGACGCTGCTGGGATCCTACCTGCAAACACGTGCACACCTCGACAAGATCCTGCTAGGAACCAGCCCATCCAATCGAAAAATCTCAAGCGTCATCAAATCCTCCCCTCTCACATCCCCGTCGCAAACCCGAATCACCACATCCCAAACCCAAACCCAAATCACCACATCCCCAGCCCCAGCCCTCAAATTCAGCAACATATCCGCATCCCGCCGCCGCATCCCTCCCCGCACCACCCCCCTCCAACCCCACGCACCCCCCAGCCTCCTCACCTCTGCACACCCTCGCTTCCCAGAAACCCCGGGCCCAGGGATATCGCTCGAGGAGTCGTCGGAGCTGCATGGAGGGATGCAAGGGCACCGTTCATATCAGGAGTATGATGTGCGATGTTTTGATAGTGGGGGTCTGGTGCCTGATGAGCAGGTTGGGGTGCCGTGTGGTGCGGTGTTTGGGGGTGGGGAGGAGGTGGTGGTGGTGGAGGGGGAGGAGGAGGTAGATGAATTGGTGAAGCTGTGGACCAATATTGGTAGGGGTGGGGGAGTGGGTGTGTAGGTGTGGGTGGGTGGACATTGTGTTGATGTACGTATGCATATAAAAGGAAAGGGAGAGAGGGGTTTACAAGGCAGTCAAGTTATTAATGCCACTCTAATTCTCCCGTGTTTACACTTCAAGACCATCCCTTCTCTCTCTCAAAACCCCACACATAATCTCTAGGAAAAGCAGCAGACTGCAAAAAGTATTTTGAATCATGGTAAATTTCTTTGGATTCTAGGTATCATTCCTTCCCTCCTTCCCTCCAAAACACTCAAAGAAAACCCCATGCTCATATGTCCATCCGCCGAGTACCAGTTACGCCTTCAAACGCCATGTGTCATATGCCAAAAGGACCCAAAAGGATCAAAAGAATACAAAAGCCGACGTTCATACGTTTGCTCACCACCAATCACCCTGCTCATGCATAGCAGCAGCGACCTTGCGGAAGCCAGCAACATTAGCACCACCAACCAGGGAAGGAAACTCGCCCTCGGCAGGGGTAAAGTACTCCTTTGCGGTGCCCAGGCAGTTTTCAAAGCAGTCCTTCATGATGCCCTTGAGCTTCTCGTCCACCTCCTCGGCCGACCAGGAGAGGCGTTGGGAGTTTTGCGCCATTTCGAGGCCCGAGACGGCGACGCCGCCGGCATTGGCCGCCTTGCCGGGTGCGTACCAAATCGCCTCATTCTTCTTCCCGCGCCGGTGGGCTTCAAAGACGTCAATGGCTTCTTGGGTGCAGCCCATGTTGGAGCCCTCGGCGATGAATTTCGCGCCGGCTTCGATGAGCGCCTTGGCCTCGTCCTCGGAGACTTCGTTTTGTGTCGCAGAGGGGAGGGCGACGTCGACCTTCTTGACCTCCTTCCAGGGCCGGGCTCCCTCGATGTACTTGAAGTTGTGGTTCTCCAGAGCGGTCAAGGCCTGGCGCTTCAGCTTGAGGTCGGCAATCTGGTTGATGATGTCGGGGGTGAAGCCCTGGTCATCTTCGGCAATCAATGCGCCCTTGCTGTCAGATAGAGAGATGACGGTGCCACCAAGCTCGATGATCTTGAGAGCCGCATATTGGGCAACGTTTCCGGAGCCGGAGAGGGCAACGCGCTTGCCCTTGAACGACTCCTTTCCGCCTGAAGCGTAGTTGATCATGTGCTCGACATAGTAGACAAGACCGTAACCGGTGGCCTCGGGGCGGATCAAGCTACCTCCCCATGAGCCTCCCTTGCCAGTGAGGACGCCCTCCCAGCGGTTGCGCTCCGCTCGGTATGCGCCGAAAAGGTAACCGATTTCGCGACCACCAACGCCGATGTCGCCCGCGGGCACGTCCGTGTCGGCACCTGTGGGGGTTACGTAAGTGGGATGTTCTGACGGGACGAGCTCCGAAAGGAATAGGCACGTGATCAAGCAACGCCCAACAACACGGCAAGATAAGGCTAACCAGCCCACTGCCCGTCGTCTGTGGTCGAGCGCATGCGCGACGGTTGCGGATGGTGGCATGCCCTCCCCTCCCTCCAAACCCGGCAGGACTTACCAATGTGTTTGTTGAGCTCCCTCATAAAGGCAACGCAGAACTTGCGGATCTCATTGTCAGACTTGCCCTTGGGGTCGAAGTCGCATCCACCCTTACCACCGCCCATGTTGACTGTGGCCATTCTATTAGCAGCTGAGCCTGTGCATTACCGCACCCAGTAGGCATGACTTACGGCCGGTAAGGGCATTCTTGAAGATCTGCTCGAAACCCAAGAACTTGAGGATGGACAGGTTCACGGTGGGGTGGAAGCGGAGGCCGCCCTTGTAGGGACCGAGAGCAGAGTTGAATTGCACACGGTATCCCTTTTGCACCTGGCACTCGCCCTTGTCGTTCTCCCACACAACACGGAACTGGATGATGCGCTCCGGGACGGAAACGACCTCGAGCGCCTTCTTGTACTCTGGGTTCTTCTGGAAGAGGGAGGAGGCTTCAAGGGTGGAGACGAGCTCTGCAGTAGAATGTTAGTTTCTCACTGTTGCGCCGACGAGGCATTGCTGCCTGCCACAAGAGAGAGGGAGAGAGAGAGAGAGAGAGTCGTCGAACGCACCCTTCCTGGCTTGCTCAAACTCTGGCTCAGACATGCTGCGTTGAGAATGGGAGGGTTTGATGTGAATAGTCGAAGGTGAAAAGTAAGGAACACAACCAGTAATGCAGTAAGAGCGAAAGGGTTGTGAAATGAGGAAGACTGGGAACCAAAGCAGGAGTGGAAAGGAGGGCGTCAATGTATGTATATATATATATATATATATATATGTATAATTGTACATGTAAATAGACGGATGCGGCAGCCTTGGCCTTTAATTTTGGCGTGGTGGAGTTCAGGGCGAGGGAGGGTAGTGTCGTCGGTTTGAAAACGTCAGAGGCCGAGTTTGACTTGAGTCGGCCTCCCCGGGGGCGACTCTTGACTGGTCCATGGGAGGCAGACAGGACGGGGTGTGTGATAGTCATAAGTCGGTATACAAAGCATGGTGTCTGTTTTTCGACTGATAAGAGAATCCGCCAATCAGGCAACAGGAGACGGTGTCGCGGGGGCGTTTGCACGTGACTTCGCGCGGGCTCCGGCGACTCGAGGCGGTTGGCGGGTTATCTTGAACTTTGTCATTGAAGACGGTCAGCACACGGCTGGCCCCCTGCCCCGCCGGTGTCGGCACGGCCAGGTGCAACCAAAACTTTTTTACGTTGAGCTTTCCAGGGGTCTGGCTCTGCTACTACTCTTAGAGTACTCTACTCATAACTACACTCTGGTTGGGCGCATGGATAGCTTACTACTTCTGCACCTACAATACATTCTGCCATGGCCCAGGCCCAGGTGCTCCCGCCACGCTTGAGCCATGCCGTCGGGGAGACAGACCATGGGCGCAAAACTGAACTGCACACGCGACTGGACATGCAATCTACCAATCTAACTAGACTTAGTAGGTATACTCTAGTTAGAGTACGAGTACACGCACACTGGCACCTGTCCTACTCTAGTACCTATCCCCTGCCGCCGAGGACACCGTAGCATCTCCCCACGGACACACAGGTCGGTAGGTAGTTGGAGAACAAGATTACATGGCATTGCATATACCTCGTTTCATGCCGTTACGATCCCCTAATCTCACCTCTCCCCACAGCCTTGGCCCACGTATTTCGCGGACTCTTTGACGACCCCCCCAGACATATACACAAACCCCCACGCATCACTTTTCGTCCTGTGTTCCTCTACTGTCCCTCACGGGCAGTCGGTAGGGTCCCAGTCTGTAACATCGCAGCAGTCAGCACACAAGCACCACCATTGGAATCAGACGACGAGCACCACCCTCTCGTCGCCGACTCCCCCAACCTTGGCCTGTCATGTCGGGTTTTACTGTAGGACGGCGTGGACAGGAGATGCTTACCCGTTACCAGATACTCGTCCAGCCCGTCCAATGCCTTCATATCCTCGTCGTCGATGACGAATCCTCCCACCTCGGCATTTTCCACGATCCGCGCCTTCTTGACGCTCTTGGGTAAGGGTACATGACCGTGCTGCAGACTCCATCGCACCAAGAGCTGTGCTGGGGTACACGAGTACTTTTTGGAGAGAGCCACAATCTTGGGATGCTTCATGCGCAGGGCGCGGACAAGAGGGGCATAGGCCTCGACGACAATATTCTTCTGCTGGCAAAAGGAGGTGATGTCTGTTCGGGTGTTGAAAGGATGGACCTCGATCTGGTTGACCACGGGCATCACTCTAGGTTTCGAGTCGAGCAGTTCTTGCAGCTGTGCCGTTTGTCAACGGACTGGCCTGAATTGGCGACTTGCATCCGGCCATCGTCTCTGTCAGACCAGCAACGCCCTCTTGCGACCAACATGGCAGATGAGGCTGAGCAACAAGCCATGCGTACTGATGCTCTCATCTTCCCATGCTAGCTCCATTAGGGCATCGAGGTTGGCCAACGGCGCCAAAGATCTGAGACAGGGGAGAGAGCAGCATGGCAGAGGGGTCAGGGGTACACTTGCATGCTTGACTCCATAATTGGATACGCCTCCCATCTTGACCTCGCCGTCGTGGATTGCGTCCTCTACAGCTCTCCAGCTGTCCAGTCGTGCTTGTTTGCCACCGTATGGCGAGTGCAACAGGAATAGATCCATGTAACCAAGACCGCACTCCTCGACCGACTTCTTGATCGACTTGCGAGCCGTCTCGTAGGCCGAGTTGGAGGCCAGTTTGGAGGTGAAGTGGATGTCTTCGCGCTTGAGCGAATCTGTGTTGGCTCCACTGGACAAGAAATCCAACACAGCCTGTCCACACTCTTTCTCATTGTGGTACCTGGACCAGATGGGGGAATGGATTAGTAAATTGTCTCTCGGGGTGGGTTCTATAGTCTATACGTGGGTGCCACACACATTTGAGCTGAGTCGATTCTGTGACATGCGCCCCTTTTGTCAGTTGTCTTGAGCGATGATGATGCGCGGGCCAGGCTCGACCTACCCTCGATAGCCAGCCTAGGGAAGTGTGAGTAGGGGCAGCGAGGATGTACAGGAAGGCGGAAAAGCAAACCTCTAGGGCCCATTGCACGGCCTGATAGGTCTCTTTGCCAGATGTCAGATAGACGCCGAGATGGATAGTGGGCATGGACAAGCCATTGGAGAGCTGGCGGGGTTAGGATTGGGAAGGGGGGCGCCGAGCTGTGCGACGACGAGGGCGATGACGACAGACCTTGGTCCTGGATGCCAATGAAAAGGTAGAGTGAGCCATGGCTAGCAGGGTCAGAGAGAGAGTGTGTGTGCGTGTGTGTGTGTGTGTGTGTGTGTGTGTGTGTGTGTGTGTGTGTGTGTGTGTGCCTAGATAGTTTCTACGGGTAGCCGTGGGGATTGTCGATGCTGCAGCGATTCAGCGACGATGGTGGTGGCAGTGGGCCTGAGGGTGATCTGATGCAGCCTGGACTTGCTCGGTGGACCTCTCGCTTGTGGCGGGCGACGGGGGTGGGGGGACGGGCGATTGTGTCCAGTGTCCACTGTGTGTGTGTGTTCCTTGTGCAGCTGAGTTCTTGGTCACGGGACCGGGTCGCAGGGTTGAAAAGCAAGCAGTCAAGAAGAAGAAGAAGAAGGAGGAGGATGCAATGTTATTATTATCAGTTTCATCATCATCAGCAGCAGCAGCAGCAGCATCATCAGCATCATCAGCATCATCAGCATCATCATCATCATCAATACACTGCTGCTGTAGACTGCTTTGTCGTGGACTTGGGGCACGAGGAAAGCAGCGCGGGCCGAATCGGGTACCGGTATGCTCCAGCCTGTCCACTGCCACCCCAGCTCACCCACATCCACATCCACATCCACATCCACATGACGATTCACAACCACGACGAGCAACAAACCATGGCACATGTGCAGCCTCATTGGAGCGACGCCTCTGATCGTGCTGATCGGCGAACAACCGTTCTTTTGTTCGGCAGATGGCGAAGCCGTAGGTAGGCTTGGAATGGCGTATGTAGCGTAGGTGCACAGGAGATACCTACCGTACCGGTACAGCAAGCATCAGCTTCCTTGAATGGGCAGACGTGCATTTGGTGCCTGAGTCTGAGTCTCCACCAACCGCCCCCCTCACTGTCTTTTTGACTCCCCACCTACCGAGGAAAGGCGCTGACTGTCGACTATTGACACGTCCGCCCATTTTTATTTTATTTTTTTATTTTGGCCATACCCGGTGGAATGAATAGGGCATGGTAGGACAGAGGCCAAGAGAGGCGGCTCCTCCTTCGCAGGCACAGTAGAGTGAGCATGTAGGTAGGCACCACCACATGGGTAATATGTACCATGTACCGCTAGTAGCCTCGAACTTTCCGACGTCTCCTGCCACTCTGGACATGGAAGCCCTCTCTTGGCTGCGCCTGGCGCCTGGATCCTCAAGAGGGAAAGAAAAAGAAGGGAAAAAAGTACCTCGGCAGCGCCGGCTGTGGCTGGCCATGGGCATGATGATGATGCAGCCCACCAAGCAGCATCATGTAGGTAGTAGGTACATGCAATATGCCGGCAGCCTCTGCAATTGGGGCGAGAGAGAGAGAGAGAGAGAGAGAGAGAGAGAGAGAGAGAGAGAGAGAGAGAGAGAGAGAGAGAGCCAGAGAATGGAGAGAGTCCCTCTGTCAGTAGGTAGAAGGAGGACCATAGTACCAAAGTCGCCAATTTTAAATCTACTGGCAAACCATGTGACTGTGAACTGCCATTGGCATAGTACCTGGGTACATAGATGCATACAAACTGTCTCCTCATCAGACCTCAGATGGCCTGCATGTGTGGGCAGCGCCGTGGAAGATCTGCCAGCCTGTTGTCCAGAAGGCTTGGGTGGTCCAGTGCTCGCTTGCTTGCTCCTACTCTCCCCTCCCTCTGCTACTCCCTCTCCCTCTGCCTCCAAACTCTCTCTCTCTCTCTCTCTCTCTCTCTCTTTCTCCCTCTACTGAGGTCCGGAATACACCCATTTCGACAGCCAGCAACCCGGCCTGGGCCGTGAACCGCAACCCGCAAAAGCCACCAAATCTGACTCCGTCTACGCTTACTGGTTACTGATTGGCCCTGCGCACCAGGTCTTGTCTGGGATGTCCTCTTGGGCTCCCCTCCCCCACCCTTGCCCTTCCAAATAGATCTTCGCCAGGATGCTTTCCATCAGACAGCCATCTCACAGAGGGCTTCAATCAATTCTCGGGCGTCCTGTCCAGCCCGCCTCGACCGAAAGCCACTCCGTATACTTACATAGACCACCACCAGACTCCGGGAGCCTCCTCCTCGTCCTCACATGTCCATCCTCTACAAGACGCATCCACTGTTGCCTTCTATAAATCGCCCTGGAGCACTCGCTACAGCTACTCCTTCCATCTCGCACCAACAAATCCACAGGCCCCGACCGTCCCGCCTGCTGGGTCACTGTCGTCATTGATCTCTTCCTTTGCCAGATCTAATTTGGTCCCTGAAACAAAATCAATTCCCGCTACATTTGCAAATAGCTCCGCGGCGCCGAACGAGAAGAATTACTCCTTTGAATCCCATTGTTTGCACCTTTGGTATGTTGACGGCCGCGCACACGCTGGCGTTCTCCTCGGCCAGCTAGGCGGCTTTTTGCTAACGTCTGTTGTTCCTGCAGTAGCTCCCCCTCCCCTCCCCTCTTCATCACTATGACGAGTCTTCCTGGATTCACCACCAATTTCCCAGCGGGCTATCCAACTGTCCAAACAAGAGGTGGAGCATTTGCAGGTGGCAGCAATTCTTCGAGCGGATCCCCCCCGGCCCCCAATCCCTCGGCCGGGCCACAATTCGACATTTTCGATTGGCATCCTGCCTATCAGAGCTGTCAGCGATATTTCCTAGACCATGCCCAACATGAGACGGGCGTGCAGGCCGTTTGCGCCCTCATCAACATCTGCCTTCCCTTTCAATGGACGCCCACTCCCCTCTTGAACTCGTCCGGTCCCCTACCACACTCGTCCGGCCCCGCCGCCTACAATATGCCATGGCCTCGACAAGGTGCAGTCACCACGTCACGTGGCCAGCCTGCGCCTGCATGGGTATCCCTCATCCCCTTTATCCGTCGACTCATCATCACCGGAATGGACAGCGCCGGCATCATGCACGGCTTCTTCGGCGAGGACTGGAGAAAGGGCGTTGGCCCCATGCACGAATGCGAGCGACGAAACTACCTGTTTGCTGCCAAGAGCGTCGGCTGGGCCAAGGTCAAGGTCCAGTACGACATGTCGCCCCACGAGAGTGTGCCGTTTATCAAACCCTTGCAAGAGACGTCGGTCGAGGAAATCGAGGGCGCAGAGAGGACTTGGAGTCAGTGGCTTGCCATGCAAGACTGGCTGTTTAATCTAGACCTCTAGTTTTCTCCCTTTTTCCTTTGGCTCCATTGTTTCTTTTGATCGGCATGCACACTTACAAGGTCTGGAGCATGCTCGTGCTATTATTGCTATCACTATTATTGTTGTTGTTATCAAAGATGTTTGGGAATCGCGTAACGCCTCAAGCCCCTCTCTACCTCTATCTAGGCATTTCGCGTACGGCAGTACACCGTAGACGAGGTCACATCACATCACACTGGAGTTTGGCACTGCGCTGTGGGTTTTTTAAATGGACAATGGAATTTCTCGAGTTCGTATGCTGCGAGCACTTGTATGAGCGTTGCATACACATACATGCAAATGAGCAACCCATTCCAAGTCGCAATTTCCAACTTGGTTGGCTTATATCTGTGGAATTTGGCAAACTTGGCTGTTCTGTTTTGAATCTGGCAGAGGTTACGATGTTAATTGAAATGGCCTGGAGATGTACATGTAGGGCTTACTAGGTACTCTTGTTCAATAGAAAGCAAGAACTGGTTACACCCTCGGCTAGGCCTGCTGCATCGGGCCACCCCAGCCTCGCCATTCTGTGGTACCTGCCAAGCGGCACCAGGCCATCATCAAAAGGAACCCCCCGTGCCTCATCAACCTGCCACATATCATTATCGCAAACACATATCAATTTCGCCCCACACCAGGGCCTGACTTGGAATCTCATGGGTCATGGAGTCCATGGAGAAGGACTGGAAGCTATGTCTCGATGGATGTCTTGACCGCCGCATCTCAAAGACCGTCTTCGCAGCCCTGGTCGCAGAGCTGCACGCCAGGTCACCACTCCCAGGAAGAAGAATCGCGGCATTACTCTTGCGCCCACGTTCTGCAGGCGCCAACAGTGTCGACCCGCGAGTCCTCATTTATATTGAACAGCTACTAGCCTCCAGGATCGTAAACGCTGCCGATGTCTTGATCTCCACATTCCGATACTCCAAGGATCGCTTGCCGAAAACGGGTCAATCACCCAAAGAGCCGCAATGGCATAATCCACCAGAACTTGAGGAGAATCTCTTTCATCGCCTGTCCAAGGCGTTTGCCTCGGAGGAGCGCCCGTTGACTAATAGTGAGGGTATTGCAACGCTCATGATTGTGACCAGATGGATGCAGGCACTAGTCACGTCGCATACCAGCGACACCATGATACAAGCCATGTCCGGCATTCAACAGCAGCCCCAGCAACAGTCTGTCAGCGTTCGTGAAGGCCTTGGTGTGCTAGTTGTTGGCATAATAGAGAACTCGAGGGTACTGCACATCCTGAAACATCCCAAGGGCAAAGGTGCGTCTTCTTCTCATGGGAAGCCGTCCATCTGATACTAACAGGAGCCTAGACCTGCGCAAAAGCTTTACACAATCATTATCATCATTTGTTATCTTCCTATCTCACAACTCAGCCGGCTCTCAGAACTCTTTGCATTTGGCCGAGCGGCTAGAGAACTCACAGAAGCAACATGAATTTTACGAAAAGATCCCGACTGTAAATGGCGGGACCAACGAGGACTCTGGTCTCGGAGTTGCCTCCCTACACCTCGACGCCACCATGGACCTGCCCGTGATGAATACTAGAGCTGGACTCTACATCTTTTTGAATTCGCTAGTAAGGCATACCTTTTGCACATCTTCAGGCATTGCTAATTTTTTCAAGCTCGTTGCACGACCCCTTACCGATGACTACACCATCATGAGCTATCTGCACTCACGTTACAAGGTATGTGACATCCATCTATTACGCATCTCTTACTGACAGCCTTCAGCTTGAAACCCAGTCAATGGCAATGGCGACCGACCTGATCACAGCTTCGTTTGATATTCTCGCCAACGCCATGTACCGAAGTGAGCCGGCATCCAACATGTTTTGCTTGAAGTCTTTCCTTGTAAACAAGATTCCCATTCTCTTGTCACAACTATCTGCCTCTATCTTTCCAATGACGCTAGAAATGTGCATAACGCAAGCACTCAGCCATGTTGATCCAAACGCCTTTCCAGCGTTTTCCCAAGGCTTTGATGATATGATGGGTAACAATACTTCGCTTTCCGATGTCCGACAAGACTTTCTCAATGCTTGTGCACTTCACAGTCTAATTCCGAGCGCCGCCGTTGAGCGACTGCTAGGCGAGACGCCCATGCAAGGGCCGCCAGAAACCAGATACGACAAGAAAACCCTTCTTGATCAGTGCAAAAGCAATTTCGACAAAGTCAACACTTTTATCGACGAGCTGGACAATCTGGATGGAAATGCCGGAGCTATCGTGGGCGCCGTGACTGAGGTATAGTGGACCAGTGTTGTATGACGGCCGATGCTGATGATGGCATAGTTTATATCCCATCTCTGCGAAACACAGACCACCATGTACTTGAAGCAAATTTCGTGCATGATCTTCAAGAAGCCGCAGGCCATGGATGTCATGTTGCAATTCACGTCGCCTGCAAGCATACTTCAACCGCTGTCCCAGTTCCTCGACGATTGGCATTACGATAGCGACCAAGGTAGGCCCTACTTTGAACATACTCGAGAGATGTCCGCTGACAAAGCAGGCGAGTATCAACCCGTATTCGATGAGTTTGGAGCCATTCTCGTTCTGATTATGGCTTTTGTTTATCGCTATAATCTCACCTATCGCGACCTGGGCATCACCTATGGCTCATTTATCGCGAGACTCATTGAGCGAGGCCATCACAGTTTGTCTCCTGACGAGATGACCGAGGACCAGAGTAGAAGCCTCGGTATTTGGCTGAAAGGCCTGTATGATCATGACAAGGAGGGTCTCAGTAACGATGTGTTCGCCTCTTGTCGCCCTCAAGACTTCTATCTCATCGTGCCAACTCTGTTCAACCAGACGGTTCTGGCATGCTCACATGGCATACTGACCTTTGAGTCAGTTAAGAGTGGCCTCGAATGTGAGTGATTCTTCTTCTTGTTGGACATTTATAGCTGCTGATAGGGAGCAGATTTGGGTGAAACCTTTCTCTTGCCATCACTAATTGGCGGTCTGCGATGGATGGCTTCGTACGCTCTTCTGCAAACGCACAAAGATCTGGATGCTATTATGCGTATCTTCAAGGAGCTCATGCTTTCGGCAACTTCATCGGGAGACGCACAAGCCATGCACTCGACCATCCTTGCCATGGTATCCAGTCACTTGGAAACAACATTTAAAACGATACAACGGCGCGAACCCGCACGCACCACCATCGAACCGTTACTTCAGGCAATCAAGGCCAATTCAAACTATGAAAGGTCAACCTATGCCACTGTCAAGGAGCTTGAACGATGGACGAATGCGCCTTATAGCACACTGGGCACTGCTTTAGGGCATACAGTGCAGCAATTGATAACCTGGAGTTCAAATGCGGCCATGCAGCCAAACCCACCCAGTTACACCCATCTCCAGATCTACGCAACCACACGCATGCTCGGTGCGTACAAGACCCTACGAGCGATTGTCGAAACCGTCACGACGCAAACGAATGCTGGATACGGGTCCGCAGCACTCGACGTGGGCATGTCCATGATCTGCGCGCCCACGGTGGAAGACAGTCCGATAGCCGTCGACTGGGCCGGCAGCACAGTCGTGGCGCCTCCACCGCAACGGACACGCATGAACCTGCGCGAGATGCTCAAGCAAGAATTCGACAATGCCGCATCCCTGGTAGCCACGGAACCCCTGACGGCCGAAACCATTGTCCGCCTCCAGCGGCGAGTCGAAGCCCAACTCGGGGCCATGAACGACGCCAGCTTGCAAGCTCGCACCCTCAACCTGCCCAGCGTGCACATCACGGAGATGCAGTCGCAAACCATTTCCGACGACATCAACAAAGCCATGGACGACGCGGCGGCAGCCACCATGGTCGACGACATCTCCAACATGGACAACAAGGCCCTGCAGCGCAGCATGGAAGAGCTCGCCGGCACCGACAGCCTGCATCTCTCGGGCATGGGCATGGGCGCTGGTAGTGCGAATGGCGTCGACATGTCGGCCGAGCTGGGCCACTTGGACCTGGTTGACATGGGCAGCATGGGCATGGATATGGACGTTGGTAATATGGACATGGGTGGTGGCGGCGACGACGACTGGGGCCTTGATTTTGAAAACATGTAGGCTGTGTTTGTGCAGCGAGGTCTGCTTGAAGGTTTACTTCGGTGACGCGTGTGGTCTTTTTTGGCATCCTGTGTTTGCTAGACTACATTACATTACACTACTCTGGGGAGAGAGCATGGGGAGGAGTTGTTGCTTGCGCGGGCTCCAGTGTCGGCCTTGCAGTCTTGGTGCTCACCTTGTACCGAGGTAACACGTCCTGGAGTAATGTGATGCTACCCACTCGTCTTACTGGTACTGGTACGGTTCTATTTGTACCTCATACCATATGGCGGGGTTGTGGCGGGGCCGTGGCGTCGTGTACCGTATCCCCGCAAACAAGAATATAACGTGGACTACAGCCTCTGGTTCAAATAGTACGGTAGTCTTTGGATACTCCTTGAGCACTGCTGGATCACTCGTTGATCACTCGTTGATCACTCCTTGATTCTATACACTACACACGATGCCTTACTCCCTCAAAGGCAGAAATGTCCTTGTTACTGGTGGGTCGGCGTATGTATCTCCTCTTCTCCTCTCCCCCTCTCCCTCTCCTCCATCCTCCCCTCCCATCCTCCCCTTTCCTCATCCCCCCATCCAACCCCCCTAAACAATCACAACTAACCTACTTACCCACCCCTCAGTGGCCTAGGCGAACTCCTAAGCAAAACCTTCGCCGCCGCAGGCGCAAACATTGCGATCAACTACTTTAACCGCGCGGACCGGGCGCACGAGGTGCAGCGCGTGTGTGAGGGGTATGGGGTGCGGTGTGTTGTTATTGGGGCGGTGGGTTTTATTTTTATCTTTGTTGTTGTTTTGGTTGGGGTGTGTTTGGTTGGAGCTTGGGGGAACTTGGGGAGAGGGTTATTGTGCGGTCTAGCTGACTTGTGAGTGAATGCTAGGATATGACGAGTACGGTGGAGGCGAGACGGGCGGTGCGGCAGACGATTGAGGGTTTGGGGGGGATAGATGTTGTTATTGCGAATGCAGTATGTGGTGTTTTTTTCCTTGGGTTGGGGGGTGGGAGGAGAGTAGGAAAGAGGAGAGAAGAAAGAGTTGGGAGTCGCAGGTCTTGGGGTTTGCAAAGAGCGACTTTGTTGTAGACCCGGCTCACATGTCCAACAGGGATGGACGCGCTTCTCCGACTGGAAAGATTTGGATTCCATGAGTGAGGAGGAGTGGGATAAGGTATGTTGGGTACTCCTCATCTTTCCCCCCTTGTCACCTATCCCCCTTCATAACACCCCGAAACTAACACCCAACCCCAAAGTGCTGGTCCGCAAACGTCAAAGTCCCCAAGGCCCTCCTCGCTGAAGCCCAGACTACGTTCAACGCAAACCCAGATGGCGGTTGTATGATTACAACGGGGAGTATAGCTGTACGCCCCCCCTTTTTTCTCTCGAGACACACATGTACACCTCCCAATCCCACACAGCACCCTGAGACACGGATAACGCACTACCCCCCGTATCCGTATCCTCGTCTACATATTTCCACGTCCCCCAACTAACAAGAACAAATCCATCACAAAGGCCCTCGGACAGGGCGGCTCCAGCATGCCGTACAGCATCACAAAGGCCGCGCAGCTGCACTTGGTCAAGTGTCTGGCTGTGTCCGTGGGACCGCGGATTAGAGTGAATACCGTGTTGCCGGGTTTATTGCTTACGGAGTGGGTAAGTGTGGTTGTTCTTCTTCTTTTGCATTTTTTTATATTTGGAGACCTGGATCCTTCATCTTCATGTCCATGTCCATGTCCATGTCCATACCTCTACCCATACCTCCTCCAAAAAACCCAAACACTAACCTGCACAACCCCAGGGCAACAAATACCCAGCTGCCAAAATCGCAAGCCTCAAGGAGGCCGCGGTGCTCAAGCACGAAACGTATCTCGAGGACACGGTCGCTGCGTTTATCATGTTGGCGCAGAATACGAGTATGACGGGGATGCGGATTCAGGTGGATGCGGGGTTGAATGTGCAGGGGGCTTGAGGGAGGGGGGTTGGCTACTGAGTTAGTTGGGTTGCGTTTGTGGAATGAGAGATGAACTGGCGAGGTTGAAAAGGGTTGGTTGTGTTTTGTTGTGAATTATTGGATTGGGATTATTGTGGCTGGGGGTATGGGTACAAGTATACATGGTATGGCCTGTGAGTGGGAATCTGATGGGGTATATCTCGTTCTTCTATTGTCCAGTGGCTTGCGCACAAAAATGTAGGAAGACGAGGTGGAAGACGAGGTGGAAATGTGACATCATGTCCAACTCACTCGCTCGACTCCACTGCACTGAGTGAGCGTGCAAATCATCAAAGTGACGAACCAACAACACATTTCACTACTCGTCTTCCCCATTCTCAGTATCATCCAAAGCCCTGACCACCTCTTCCATTTCCTTTGGACTCGTGATAGCCCAGACCCCGCCACCTTTGACGGACCCCTTCATGCCCACCTCCTTGCCCACCAGATTCCGGCCCACCTTGCCCGGCCCAATGCCCACATATCTGCGCACCTTTTCCTGCTCGTGCAGGTACTTTACACTTTTCCACCACTGGACGGTTTCGACGCAGCTGCGGGCGAGCAGGTCCTTTAATTGCTCCTTGTTCTCGAAAGGCTTGCCCGAGACATTGGAGATGCAGGGCATGAGGCCGGGCCAGGTGATGATGTCGGATCCATCTGGGAGCGGGGTGTGCAGAATCTTCTTCATCATCTGTTCGGCGGGCTTCATGAGCGGGCTGTGAAACGGGGAATCGCTCTTCAATCGCACATGCCTGGGGTCGTGTCCACCAAACTGCCTCAGGTTGGTCAAGAGCGTGTTGATGCGCGCAATACTGCCACTCAGCACAATCTGATTTTTGCTATTCAGGTTCGCAATGGCGACTTGTTGGACCGCCGGCAAGTGGTCGTGCGAATCGAGCTTGGAGCCTGGGCCGGCGACTTCGAGAAAGTCGCGGATGCCCGTGACGAGTGACTGCATGTGTGCTTCCGACTCGCAGACGAGGGCTACCATGCCAAATTCCCCGCCTTCACTGGCTACCGCGTCGGCCGAGCAGCGGGACATGACCTCTGCACGCCGGCGCACCATTTTCAGGGCTTCGGTGAAGGAGAGGTAGCCGCCAGCGACTAGGGCGGCGAATTCCCCCAGCGAGTGGCCGAGGGTAATGTCTATACGGTCTGCGGTGCGGAAGCCAAACTCGCGTTCCATGATGCGCAGGATGAGAATCGAGGTGGCCATGATGGCTGGCTGGGCGTTCTCCGTCTGCGTGAGTTGGGCATTGGTGCCGAATTCGATGACGCGGGTCAAGGGGACTTGGAGGGCTTCGTCGATTTCGTCGAGCATGGGCTTCGCCGTGTTGGGGAAGGCTTCGAGCCATGGGGTGCACATGGCGACACGTTGTACGCCCTGGCCTGTGGTAGAAGCATCAGTACATGATGGCTGATTGCGTTGGCACTGCCGGCTGTACCGTACCAGGGAAGAAGATGGCAGTCTTGGGCCTCTTGGAAGGCCCATTTTGTCGTGTACTGCTCATCCACCGCTGCCGCCCATGCGAGCCATTTTCCCGTAAGCCTCCGCATTGCGTGCAGCGACGCGACAGGCGCGGAATCATCCTGGTGATGGGGGTGAAGGGGTTGTAGGGGCTGGCCATGGCCCAGGTGCGTGCTATGCGGGTGCCAATGCGAATGTCATTTCACACACGCGCACAGCAGCAGTGGTAGAAGTATTAGTAATTGTAGTAGTAGCAGCAAGAATAGACGTGTTGATCAGTGGTAATGAACAATGGCAATTGGCAATGTCCAACGGTCGAGATTCTGCGGGGATGGACTGTCTGATCGCCCTAGGAGTAGAGTACAGTAGGAGTAGTCGTCTAACTTGATCGGATCCGGGGTCGTGGGGCCACTCTTCTCCCATGGTGGAGGGCCGGGGCAATGGGCGCCGAAGCGCTATGCACCCTTCTACCTGCCACACACTACTTCATGTTGTGCAGCACAGGAAGTGTTCTGCTCAGGGCTCACACACGAGGCTCATCAAGAGCCGGCGAGGTGTCTCAGATAACCTGAAGTTTCGCCATGAAGCAGGAATGGGGTCTACAGTGTCACTTCAAGCAGTCGACCACGATTAACAGCCACAACTAATTTTTTAGTTAGGCAAGGAACAAAATGGATAGCAGCGATAAGCCAAGGTCATACATGCAAGGACTACTTGGGCACAGTGGCATCTATCCTTGGAAAGTTGTGAGCGTAAGGCATAGATGCTTGAACTTGCACATGGTGCACGTTGCGAGTCACGTGAAAGATCACGTGTCTGCCATATCCGGCACCTTCGTATAGCTAATTGACGACAATTAACAACAACCGTACTAATGCCGACAAGGTGACATGAATGAAGACACCATAGCTGTTCTTACACTACCTAGAGCATGTCCATACTACCTACGGCTACCTAACTGGAGTACCTGGTTGGCGAGAGATATTGGCAGCATACGGTACATGCCATAGTCCATTTGTTTAAAGTGCCTGTTTCAGGCAACTACCGTACAGCGAATGTAAGCAAGGCAGAATACCTAGACGCACTGCACATCCTCTCCCATCTACCTACCTAATCTCGTTGCCCAATCTGGTTGTGCTGACAGCAATCAACAAAGTTCCATGTGGCGGTGTACCGGTACCGTAGGTCCTAACGCCAAAAGCCACGCGGCAACAAATCCCTAAAAGGGGGTTCCTAGCATGCAAAGTTAGACAAAGTACCTAGGTAGTACTCTAGATACCTCTCGATAGAATGTGTCTCCATCCTACCCACGCCATCCCGTGCGCATTACCAGAACCGCCCGGATGTACAAGCCCAAGTCGCGAAACGAATGGGTCCTTCTAACCATCACCGCGGCCCAGGCTCTGCTAGTCACCGCGCTTGATTTGTGAGTTGGCGCCCCTGTCCCGTCCCGTCCGCATAACGGTAAACTCCCATGCCCCATTCCATACCTATCTAGTCCAATTCCAATTTCCATCCATGGGACGGACTAGGCACGCCTACCGATCACGCGACACAAATCCTCACTCGTCACAGATACATACTCCTCACCTACTTCGACTGGGTAACACCCTATGTCTACCAAGTCCCCAACTCCTATGTCGTTCCCGCCAACTTTGCCATCGTCGTCCTCGGCAACCTCTACCAGGCCGTACTGGCCTGGGACGGTCTGCGCGTCAAGAACACATTGCAATTGTACAGCGTCTACCTTCTCAATGCCGGCCTCCTCTTCTTCTCCGTCATGCGATATCGCCAAACAAAGATGGTCACCGCTAGTTTACAACGAGCAGAGGCTGCGGGCCACAAACCTTTGACAAATCGACACATCAACTACTGGAAGAATGTAGAGCCGGCACTGTTGACAGTTACGGCCAGCATTGGCTTGTCTTGGCTCGTCCAGGGTGTCCTTGTTTGCCTGTTACACAGAGAGTTCAAGTGGGCAATCTATAGGCATATCCGGGGGAGTTTAGAAATGTTGAGGCGATATTTCACCTATCAGGTAATCCCTCACCACTTTGGCAAGGACACACACTTGATTACACTCTGACTAGTGCCCAGGTCCTCGTTGTGCTCATGCGTTTCGAGATCTACTTCTTCATCGCCTTCATCGTCCTCTACGGCCTCATCAGCGTACATTACAGACAGCCCGAGTTTGCACTCACAATGGCCATGATTCCCGCCCTTACTATCCTGGTCATCCTGACCATTCTCTTTACAAAATCCGAAAACTACTTGGGCGCCATATTCGCAATTGTAAGACTAATGATGCCTCTCTCCACCATCCTCAGCCTCCATGTTTTCGTATTAACTGACAGATTACAGATCCTCCGCTTAGGCGAAATAACCTACCTCCTCAGTCGAATCCTCCTCCTCACTGGCAAGTCTCGCCGTGCAAATACCGCTCTGAAAGACGAGATGCTCTTCTTCGCAGGCACCGCGATAGCACTTGCAACCCTCGCCTGTTTCAACGCCATGCTATGCGTCTTCAATTTCAGAAAGGGCTTGAGACCGCTCCTGGGCGGCTACAGCTGGAATCAGGCGCCGTCTGTATTTGAGCCCGTCCATCAGCATCGGTACAGCGAGAGGATCGAACTGGATTAAAGAGGAAGGAAATCGAATAATCTGTAAATGATGATTATTTGACCTGATTTGTTACGATTCTTGCGACTGTGTTGCAGAAGATCTATTACCGGGTGTACCAGGTCACCTCCAAGGAAGATTACAGCCCTCTCCATCATACTACCCTAGTTGCACGGTCGAGCTTGCAAGGAAAAGTCACATTTGCAGTACGATCGGATGGGACCAAATCGTTTGCGCAGCCATGTCCACCACAAGAGTCTCCCGGGAAAAACTTGCGTCGAAATGGCATCCTCGATGAACATGTCGGGCAGTCATGGAGACGCAGAGATCAAGAGTATCTACATGGCCGCAGAGCTGAAGGAAGTGGAAGCAAGTGAAGAGGAGCGAAAAGAAAGACCGCTTTTCAGATTCTGAACTCTGGAAAATCCTCGGCGTGTTGGAGTTGGTGCAGCCTGGTCTGCCATGAGACGGGATTGGAACTGGAAGAATGCAGATGGACATTGCAGAAGAATGGCATTGGGTGATGTGCGGTGGTATGGGTTGGGTCTTGGGTAAGTGAGCATGGGGTGAAGCAGGTATGATAGATTGCAGAGTGTCGGGGTCACGAAATCTACAACTTGCAGCTGCCATGTTAATCAGTCCACCAAAGAATCGGAGGCCGGAGTTGAACTAGGATGGGTAATGGCAATGTTTACTATCATACGTCATTCTACCATGCACAACTCGCTAGAAACAAAACACCAGGATATCTATCCTTCTCTCCTTCTCATCGTACACCTAACACTCTCGCCAAAACCGCGCTTACCAGGCAATCAACTATCTTCATCTCAGTCCTATCCTACACCGTCCTCTACTCCACCACACCACGCCCGCATCTCGTGCACACGGTGCAAGCAAGAGAATCAATTCAATAAACACGTCTCGCATTCCGTCCATCCGTCCCACGCATGCGTCTCGTCCCAGCCGCCTAGAACAAACCCAAGGTCAGTCATGCACACTCAATCAACCCTATGGACATCAAAGCAAACTTGGGAAAACATACCTTGACCCCTCTCCTGCCCATCACAGACCCCTTCAACTTCATCATCATCCCCGCTACCTTGTCCCCCATCGACACACGTCGCTTATGGTGGTGCACGGGTGCGGCGGTGGTACCGGCGGTGTGGCGATGGGCGCCGGTGGTGCGTGTGGTGCGTGTGGTGCGTGTTGTGGTGGTTGTGGTTGTTGCAGGCTTGTGGGTGCGTTTGGGGGCCGTGTGGTTGTGGCGGCGACGGGCTAGGAGTTTGGATTTTAGGGTTGGGCGGGTGGTGGTGTGGTGGGTTATTGGCATTTTGGGTGGTGGTTGGTTGGATTGAGTGGATTGAGTATAGGTAGATGGGTAGAAGAGATGGGTATATACTTGAGAAGTAATGGGAGAAAGTGTGATGGATAGAGAGGTATGAGTGATATAGACTTGAAACCTGCGAGTCCTCTATTTCTTTCTTATACCTCTGTGACTCTGTCTCTGTCTCTCTCTCTCTCTCTCTCTCTCTCGCTTTCTCTCGCTATGATGCCATCAGCCCTCCACCAACCCATGCAAACCTCACCCTACCATATCCCTCCCAGACCCCGAGAATCAAGTTCTCCAACCCCAAGACGCCCGAAACGGCTCGATCTGCAGCCCTCACAGGACAAGCATACGTCATGCAGGGACTGCGCAGATGCACGTAGCACAGTACTAGACAACTAGAGTAGAGTACTAACTTAGACAACAGACAGTATCACACGAGTCAAGGCCTGGGTATGACGTCCCACAGCCAGGTACATTCAGGGTTCTTGATGTGGCTTGCTGTAGATTACCGACACCCTGCTCCTAGTACTACTAGTATGCATATGCTATCACTATAGTAGAGTATGGCTGGCCGAATGTCCCTACCATGCTAAGATTGGCTGACGATGAAGATGGTGGCGTCGCCGTCTTCTGCTCGCACTCGGGACGTTTGGGCCGTGATTGAGCGCGAGGCTGGATGTGGTCATAGCGTTTGTGGATGAGACTCAAGCGTCTTGGCGTTGGCGGGACGGACGTCATTGCCCATCCCGGTATTCTACCACAACTTACAAGTCGCAAAGTCTGTTCTTTGGGATCGTGGGTGATAAGAGTAGATAGGGTCGAGGCTTCAACTTCATGGTTGGAGATTTAGAGCATCATGGAGGGTATCGCGTTCGATGTTTAAAGATATTATTAACAAAAAAAAAATTGGTACCCACCAGGTGCCTGATTATAACTTACTGCTTGAGCCGAGGAACGCTTGACGATAGAAGAAGTACTTGGATCAAAGTGGATGGTTGATTGGGCCTTGCCTGAGTGGGAATGACGCTGCAGTCGTAAGACAGTTGTGCATGTAGAAAAGACATTGGAAACGGCTTGAGGGAGAGACTGTGAGACATATCGATGATTCAATCATGGTACGAGCGAAGGCGAAGGCGTACTAGTGTACCGCTAACGCACAGGCCAACCAGCCTCTTTGGGTTCACGGGTAGGGCTGAACCATTGCCAAACACTGCTGGCTGCGACTTACACCACCACACTCCACTTCGCGACCTCGTACTGTCCGCCCGAAATAGCGGGAAAACACTATCTCGGGTTGGGGAATCGCTGTTCATTGAGCATATCAGAGGAATCGCATGTTTGCGAGCTCTAGGTATCGCCACTGTTGCTCCACCTAACTGCCTTGGGCCTGTGTGATTTATACTGATGTCAATTAGTGACATCACTCGAGCATCACAGATAAAAGTACAGTTTTAAGCAGGAATCATGTCTCTCTCACTCTCTTCTCCCATTAACACACATCCAATTTCGAGATACCCTAAGTTGACTTCCTTCACAACATCATAAAAATTTCCCAGATACCCAATCCACATCATGTCATCTGCCAAGGGCGTTTTCGAGCAGGGTAAGTTCAGAAAAGATAATCTCCACGTCTTATGTCATTAACTCGTCTGTAGGCTACCAGCCCGAAGTCCAGCACCAAAAGGTGCCCGGTCTCCAATCCAAGCTCGACCCCACACCAGAATACGACCATCTCCCCACCGCTGACGGCGGCCGCGAGCTCTACAAAGCCGCCGGAAAGCTCAAGGGCAAGAAAGCCATCATCACAGGCGGAGACTCTGGGATCGGCCGCGCAATTGCCGTTCTCTTCGCCATGGAGGGCGCAGACAGCTTCATTGCATACCTACCGCAAGAAGAACAAGATGCGCAAGACACGAAGAAGCTTGTCGAAGAGAAGGGCGCAAAGTGCTACACCTTTGCAACTGACCTTACCGACCGCGCAAACTGCAAGAAGGTGGTTGACGAGGCGATGAAGCAAATGGGTGGCATTGACATACTGTGCAATAACCACGCGTACCAGATGATGGTGGAGGACATCAAGGATCTGGATGAGGACCAGTGGGTTCACACTTTCAACACTAACATCCACCCCTTCTTCTACCTGTCCAAATACGTCCTGCCACATATGAAGAAGGGCTCGACTATCATCAACAACGCCTCTATCAACGCGTACATCGGCCGCCCAGATCTCCTCGACTACACATCAACAAAGGGCGCGATTGTCGCCTTTACTCGCGGTCTGTCCAGTCAGTATGTCAGCAAGGGCATTCGTGTTAATGCTGTTGCACCTGGTCCTGTATGGACGCCTTTGATTCCGGCGACGATGAGCTCGGATGCGATCAAGCAGTTCACAGCGCCCATTGGGAGGCCATCACAGCCCAGCGAGATTGCGACCGTCTTTGTCTTCTTGGCGAGCAATGATAGTAGTTCGATCAGCGGGCAGACTATTCACCCCAACGGTGGTACTATTGTCAGCGGTTAAATGCTTTGTTGCAACATGCGGTGCAATGATGACTCCACCAGGGTTGCATCTTACGACGTCACGAGTATGGGGTATATAATCATGAATGAATTGTAATCTTCCCATGAATCATTGAATATAATTTGATCGTCTTTTGTGATAGCATTGGGCATTGACAGTCTTCTCCCGGTCTTGAGAATTCTACTCTTTCTTGCTTTGCTTGAATAGGGGACATCCTCTTCCACTTCACGGTCCGCCAAACAAAGTACCCTGGGAAACGATGCTGAACTCGTGAGTGTTACGCAGCTTGTAGGACTAATATCTGATGATCAGAAAACAAATACATTTTACTGTTCGTAGTTTCAGATTAATAACTATAGCGTTGGAATTTGAAACAGAGAACACATTACATTTGAAGTTAGCATTAGGTCAGAGAAGGAAGATTGTGTATACTTAAGAATACTATTAACAGGAGAGAAGAGAGATAGATCTATACCAAAAAGAGATGGAAGGAGTGAAGCTTAGAGTTCATGGCCTTTAGAATTAATTATCTGTAAGGGAAGGCCTGGGTAATATTGAAGCTTTACGATCGGATTGAGTTTTACTTGAAAGTCTTGCAAATTTCGAATGCAGAGTTTTTGGAAATTACAATTTAGAGTCCAGGGTATCACATTGTTTTTGGGATATTTTGTTTTCAGACATGCACTTCGGATGAGCACATGCGACATTTAACGTGGGTGCTGGGATTGCATCATGGTATCTATTCAAATCCCGTGAATCTAAAAACCTTAAAGAATCTAAAGGAATAATCCATTATAGATTTGAGAATACGGTGCCAAGGTAGGAAGCGATATGATGAGAGATGAGAGTTTTGCTTTCAAAGGTCTAATGTTGGATGCTGCGATGAAGTCGAGAAAGAGCAAGTCTAACGTGATCCACCACGGAGCGCCCACCAACACCAAAATTCACCACCTACAAAATAAGGATATTGCGCTATCTATAATAGCTATTATTAAAAGAAATTTTTAGCCTTATAATTAATAAATCTATTAGAGTAGATTAGGGTAGCTATTAGGTACCCCCCTACCCTAAGTATATTAGGGTACGGTTAGGCTCGCATTAACCCTAGGTAGGGGTGGTAGAAGCTCTAGGTTAAGGTTAGTGTGGAAATCTAGATCACTAAGGTTAGGAATGATTTAGGAGATAGATTATTAGATTATATCTACTATAATCAGACTTATATATATAGAGCTTTAGCTACCCTTACTAGAAGGTAAATAATTAGTAAACCTTCCTTACTAGAGCTCCTACTTTTTATTAGGCACTTAGTAGTAAGCTAGTAGTTAATTAGATAGTAGGTTATATAAGGGTATTAACTAGGATTAATTAAATTAAGATACTCTATAATCTAGTTAATATCCCTCCTATAATACACCCCCTAGGTATAGGTAGATCTTTTATTATTATAGTTACACTTATAGTTAGTAGGTAGTATAGCTAATTAGAGTATTATATATCTAAAGGGTTAAATTAGCTTACCCTTTAAATACTAAATAGCGCGCCTTCCTTGTTTAGCCTGCGCTTACGCGCTTAGATATTATCTAGACTAAGCTCTATAACTCTATTTACCTAACTATAATCTTTACTATAGCTTAAATTATAAGATTATATAACTTTAAAGATCTAAACTATACTTATATCCCTACTAACCTATATATTAGTTAAAGTTAAAATCTACTACTTATACTTACTTTACCTATACTACCCTTATTACCTCCTATACTACTAAAGCTACTATTACTAAAGCTACTACTACTAAAAAAGAGCGTGCTACTACTAAGTATAAGGCTACTATAGAGCGCGTAGTAGCTAAGTATATAGCTACTACTACTATAGCTAAGATTAAGAAGCTAAGGAAGGGCGCTCCTGCCTTAGCTCTTACCCCTCTAGCTCTAGCTCCTGCTCCCCCCTAGACCCTATCTAAGACCCCTGCTCCTGCTCCCTCTCTAGCTTCTAAGGAGACCCTAAGATCCTCCTACTAAGGAGAGCCTAGTATTTATTATACTAAAACTTATCTAAATTATCTACACTCTACGCTCTTTAATAAGTCTAATAGTAAGTGCTATAACTCTTCTAGTAGAGGGACTTAGTACTAGTAGTGCTTCTCTAGGTATAGCTATATCCTAATATATATAATTGTGGAAATTTAGATTACTAAGGTTAGGAATAATTTAGGAGATAGATTATTAGATTATATCTACTACGATCGGACTTATATATATAGAGCTTTAGCTACCCTTACTAGAAGGTAAATAATTAGTAAACCTTCCTTACTAGAGCTCCTGCTTTTTGTTAGGCACTTAGTAGTAAGCTAGCAGTTAATTAGATAGTAGGTTATATAGGGGTATTAACTAGGATTAATTAGGATTAATTAGGATTAAGATACTCTGTAATCTAGTTAATATCCTTCCTGCAACACACCCCCTAGGTGTAGGTAGATCTTTTATTATTATAGTTGCGCTTATAGTTAGTAGGTAGTGTAGCTAATTAGAGCGTTATATATCTAAAGGGTTAAATTAGCTTACCCTTTAGATACTAACTAGCGCGCCTTCCTTATTTAGCCTACGCTTGCGCGTGTAGATATTATCTAGATAGAGCTCTATAACTCTATCTACCTAACTATAATCTTTTACTATAGCTTAAGTTATAAGATTATATAACCCTAAAGATCTAAACTATACTTATATCTTTACTAACCTATATTTTAGTTAAAGTTAAAACCTACTACTTACGCTTACTCTACCTATACTACCCTTATTACCTTCTATATAGCTAAAGCTATAGTTACTAAAGCTACTACTACTAAAGAAGAGCGCGCTACTACTAAGCGTAAGGCTATTATAGAGTGTGTAGTAGCTAAGCATGTAGCTACTACTACTATAGCTAAGATTGCAAAGCTAAGGTAAGGCGCTCCTGCTCTAGCTCCTACTACTCTAACGTGATCCACCACCGAGCGCCCACCCCCACTGAGCGCCCACTAACACCAAAATCCACTACCTACTAAATAAGGATATTGCGCCACCCACAATAGCTATTATCACGAGATTTCTTAGAGTTGCGATTATTAGATCTATTAGAGTAGATTAAATATTTTAGATTATATAAGCAGCTTTTTAGGGGGTCTAATTAGGCGCCTACGCCGTGAAGTTGCCTCTACTACTATATCCTCTTCTACTAGCTCCTTATCAACCACCTTAGCTAGTATAATAGTAGGAGGCTTAAGGATTTACCTCTTGCCTATTTAGGACGTTTTGATATTATTTTAGAGTTACTTTTCTAGTTGCTTAGTAGTTTTCTACTTGTTACGTGTAGCGGCTTTTTAGGCGGCTTTCTCCTCCTGCTCCTTCTTAGTAATTACTTAATTTAGGCAACGCTCCTCTATAAGTTAAGCTTTAGCAAGCTTCTATTACTTATAAAGCTTAATTACCTTGCTTTTTTAGTGTTATAGCTCCTATTCTTTAAGGTTCTTTTGCTCCTAGAGCTTGAACGCTTGCTCTACCTTTAACAGTAAAATAAATTAGGCACTACTACTATAATTATTATTAGGGGGTAATAATAGAGGTTTACCACGCTTCCTACGCTTCTTCTTATTAGCTAGGGCAGCCCTTAGGTGTTTATTTTCGTGGTTAAGTAGAGTATTTCTTACTAATATAGTGTAGATTGTCTAGCTAAGCTTCTTTAACTATTTATTATAGATATTAATTATAGTATCACAGAGTAACTACTCTATCTTTCTCTAATTGCTTGCACTTAATATTAAGGTTATACTATTACTTAAAGAAGGCTAGTTACTATTGTTTATAGGTGCTTTAAACCTTAAAAGGATAATATTAGGGTTAAGTAGTAAGATGCCTGTCACTTTAAAAGCTATTAATATTAGCTTTTCCTTAAAGGTATTACTCTATGCGGCATTAAATAACTAGTAGAAATCCCTCTTAGTAATGCTTGTGAGCCCTTAGGAGCTATCTAGAAAACTAGATAGTTAAGCTTTGTATAAAGCTGCAAAGGGAGCAAATACTACAATATTAAGTGGCTAAAGGGTATAAGTGCTATAAGGGGGATATATTATAAGTAGGATCTTGTGTTTATTATAGTACTTAATAAACTCTATTATTACGTAAGATCTATAGCTATTAAGGATAAGGAGCTAGTATAAAGTACGAGCTTTAGCTTTTATCTTGCGATTAAACACCTCCTTAAGCTAGGATACCCCTAGGGTGTGGCTTATCTACCTACTTAGTAATCCTGCAAAGAAAGCTTAGTGTTGTAATAGGTTAAAATCTTGTAACTAGGTATCCTGTAGAGCTCTAGATTAGGACTAATAAATAAGGGTAGGGGTAAGAGCAGTACTATCAGCGCATATGCAAGCTATAGTAGTAATCCACTCCCTATTGCTATCCTAGAGTATAGCTCTAATCTTTCTCTGCTTATAGGCGCTCTTATTAAACACACGTTTAGTTTTTAACAGTACTCTAATAAGAAAACCCTTCTTATCTATATTATAGATATGCTAACTCTTAATATTGTATTGCTCTATTTTTTAGTGTAAAAGCTTAAAGTATAAGCTATACTTAAAGGTAGAATTAGCTTTAAAGCAGTTGCGATTAAGCCTAGTGGCCTAATAGGAGATAAGATTAATATTGTAGCAGTTAATAAAGCGCTGCACCTAATTTTTGCCTACTAGATTCCCTATTATTTTAGTCGCAAAATTTTAAATAATAGTCTATATAGGGGGTAATCCTTACCTACAAAGCTCTTTAATATACTCTATAAGCTTACTTTCTTGCGTGGTGTTAAGTATTTAACTATTTAGTAGAGTAGTAGTGCGCGCCTACTAAATTTTCTAGTAGCGTCTAGACAAGGTTAACCGCGAGCAACTATACTTTTCTACTATTTCTAAGTATATAAAATCTTCTCCAAGAGTTAAGGATTTAATTGCTGCAAGCGCGTCGTTAATAGGT